AATATTGTTTCCACTACTTACTACTTGGAATACTCCGCTTAATAGCCTTTGCACATGTTCTTTGTCTATGAGTCATATCCAATTGAAGATAGCAGAAAGTAGCTTGGCCTGCTCATCTTTCTCGCCTCCTCCTTGCTGCAGCCTCCCGAGTCCCTGAAACCGTCCTCTGTTCAGAGGAACCCTTCTGAACTACGGAACACTGTGTCTTGGGGCAGCAGTACAAGGGCAGGCATTGCCCCAAATTAGACTGATGTATCTTCTGGATAATCTTTTAAAGCAGATGTGGATTTCTTGGTTAGTTCTGAGATCCTCTTCCTTGCTACTCCAACTCTGATTTCTAGTCAGGACTGAAAGATGAATAAGCTAACTCTGTTTTGATCTCCATAGCACAATTGTTATGGAACCTGATTACTCACAGTATGATGGGTTTTGTCTAAGAACCATGATGTGCTCCTTTGATATCAACCTGTATCTTTTAGATGGAATCCAGTTTTCACCAGCCCAACTGTCGCAGTGCAGTGGCCAGGGATTTTTTTTCTGTGTCAGGAGCAACTTGAGAAACTGCAAGTTGCTTCTGGTGTGAGAGAATTGGCCATCTGCAAGAACATTGTCCAGGGGATGCCCAGATGTTTTGACGTTTTACATTCTTGTAAGAGGCTTCTCTCATGTCCCCGCATGGGGAGTTGGAGCTGACAGAGTGAGCTCATCCGCGCCGTCCCCAGGTTCGAACCTTTGACCTGTCGGTCTTCAGTTCTGCCGGGCACAAGGTTTGATCCATTGCGCCACGGGGACTCCTCAGTAACTAGATATAAAGGGCCTTAAAAACCAAGCATGGTACATTTTTAGCACAAGAACTGACCGGTGTGTCCTGTTGCTTAAGAGGAAGGATGTCCTACAGCTTCTTTACTAAATCATTCTGAGGCTTTTTTGTGCATTTCCTTCCAATTCTAAATAAACACTCTCCTTGTTCCTTTTGTGACGTCTAATCGATTTCAGGTCTTCCAGATATTCCTGGAAGAGTTGGCTTGCATAGTATCACATGCGCCAAACAGACCATAGACTGCTGCTAGTGCTAATAACAGAACTGGTCAACCAGTTAGAAACCAGTAATCAGTTGTCAGATTCTTCAATGCTGTAGAGTCCTTTCTGATTGCCAAGTTCCACAACAGTTTTGTCTTGATGTACTTTTGACCCTGAGTTCTACAGTGCAATGCTGATTCTTTTTTTTAACAGTATCAGCTTCTTCACCTTCTGTTTCCTTGAATGATTTATTTTCAGTCTCACCCCATGATTTTGGGAAGCAGCCAAAAAGTTGTGACAAAGGAAACGTTCACCTCGCTCTCAGACAAGGGCATGTTGTCTTTTCCGCCTTCCTGAAATTGAAAAATAAATAAATCCCAGTGTAATGTCATAATAAGAAGATGCATATCTTTCTGACATCTTCAAGGAAGGGTTGTGTCAGCTAGGGCTGCCTTCATGGTGACCTGTGTACTCACAATGGAGAAATCTATTGGAAGTTCATCTTTTCTCTTTCCTTTTTGTAGTCCAGGAGTTGGGAAAGTGTTGCTATGAAAATGTTGGTCTGAAATTCCATTCATTGCCTATTCTGGCTGGGGCTTATAGGATGTCTAGAGCAGGGATAGCAAACTCACGTTTAGCAAGGGCCACATCAACTGGTGGCGCAGTGGGTTAAAGCGCTGAGCTGCTGAACTGGCTAACCAAATGGTCGCAGGTTCAAATCCAGGGAGCAGTGTGAGCTCCCGCTGCCATTTTTCCACAAGGAGAAAAAGGTAACTCAGTAGTGGAAGAAGGTATCTTCCCAGTACTCCCTGTGTTCACCTCATGCCAAGAGTGGCCAAGACCAAGAGCATCCTTCATGCCCAATACATTTGCATTATTTGTTTTTATATTGCAGGAGACATGATGGGAAATAACTTGTATTCATCCAAATATTGTGGGACTGCAATTTTTCTCTGTCGTAACCAGTGTAGCCAATGCTCAAAAAGGGTAGAACTTTCTGTCTAGCAATGTGGACAATACGATTGGGAAATGAGGTGTTTTTGATAAATGAATTGTTATTCCTGAATAAGACTGAAATTAAATCATTCTAGGCCTTCCTGGTGGCGCAGCGGGTTAAACTGCTGAGCTGCTGAACTTGCTGACTGAAAGGTCGGCGGTTCAAATCCAGGGAGCAAGGTAAGCTCCTGCTGTTAGGCCCAGCTTCTGTCAACCTAGCAGTTCAAAAACATGCAAATGTGAGTAGATGAATAGGTACCGCTCCGGCCAGAAGGTAACGGTGCTCCATGCAGTCATGCCTGGCACATGACCTTGGAGGTATCTACGGACAATGCCGGCTCTTCAGCTTAGAAGTGCAGATGGGCACCAACCCCCAGAGTCAGACACAATTGAACTTAATGTCAGGGGAAAACCTTTACCTTTACCTACATCAGCCTTAGGCTTTCCTTCAAAGGGTCAAAGAATTTGTGGATACAAAGGACCAACTATCTTTTTTTTTTTTTACATAGTGATCAGTGCTATTTAGTCTTTGCCCAGTTTGGGTCCCTAGATGTTCTTGAACAACAACTCTCATAACTTTTGATAATTCAGCATGTGGACTGGGGATGATGGGAATTGGAATCCAAAAACACTTGTGGTTCTGATATTGGAGAAAAAATAAAGGATGTTTTAAAATCTGACATTGTACCCAAAAGCCTTGTATCTTAATCCAAACCCCACTGTCCTGACTGAACAGAACAAACTGTTGTCCTCCAGATGTTACTGTATCACAACTCCCATCAGCTCTAATCATGTCTAATGATTAGGAATACTAGGGTTGTAGTCCCAACATCTGGAAAGCCACATAAAATGACACAGCAGGCCTTGAGTTTGACACGTGATCTAGAGGATTCCTCACCTTTCTTATGGCCCTTTTATTCTCCTCTGTCCTTCTTTTGATCCTTCAATAACCAACTGTGAGACTGGAGTCATTCTACATCAGTGGAAAAGAAATGTCCTTAGAAGGCCTTGGCTCTGACTAAGCAATGCCATTTACCACTCAACTTTCTAGTACTTGGTTTGTTGACCTTGGGGCCTTGTTGTCCTTTGTCACTTGTCCACCAAAGGCAGGAGGAGTTCCTCTACGGCCATTGCTCTACAAATGACACACTAAGTAAAACCAGTCAGTGTTCCAGAGCTGCAAAATCACATACCATTAGGTGTATTGCAGGAAAAATGAAGCAGACTGGGAAATAGAGAAAACAATAACTTCTTGGGAAGGAGACAAAGGGCTTTTGTCTCTTTTCCCATCTGCAATTTTATGGCTTCACAAAATGTTGCCAGTTCTTTTCTTGGTATTAAGCCTAGCAGGGAGTTATATCATGTTCTTCTTCTATCTACAATAGCTTACTCTATTCCCTTTCTGGTTAGTGTCACCTTACATACTGCCATGCCTCTGTAACTCCCCCCCCCCCCCCCCCCAGTCATTCCTGATGAACAACTTACATTAGTGGTTACATTACTAAGAAAGTAGACGAAGATACAATTTATTGTGAGACTGGAATACAAGTTTGTCTGAAATGCTTGGGGCCAGAAGTGTTTGAGATATTGATTTTTTGTTGAATTTGCATATGTATGGATACACGCACGCACATACACAATGAGATATCATGGAGATGGTACCCAAGTCTGAACATGAAATTCATTGAAGTTTCATACACACCTTGTACACACAGCCCAAAGGTAATTTTATCCACAATAGTAAAGGTAAAGGTTTTCCCCTGACATTAAGTCTAGTCGAGTCCGACTCTGGAGGTTGGTGCTCATCTCCATTTCTAAGCCGAAGAGTCAACATGTCCGTAGGCACCTCCAAGGTCATGTGGCCAGCATGACTGCATGGAGCACCGTTACTTTCCTGCCAATTGGTACCTGTTGATCTACTCACATTTGCATGTTTTTGAACTGCTAGGTTGGCAGAAGCTGGGGCTAACAGCTGGAGCTCACCCCGCTCCCCGGATTCAAACTGGTGACCTTTCGGTCAACGAGTCCAACAGCTCAGAGGTTTAGCCCACTGCACCACCGGCGGCTCTTTTTGTAAAAAAAAAAATGTGGGTTGTTTTTTGAGGACCTGAAACATTAGAAAGCAAAGGTATCACTATCTCAGCCACGCCTGTGGACAATTTTCAATCTTAAAGTATTTTGGATTTCAGAATTTCAGATAAGGGACGATCTAACATTGTGCTAACATTTCCAGTAATGGAACGGCTGTCATACGTACTCACTCCAGCTTTCATCCTTGCCAAACATTGTGTTCTCTCCTTCCACCCCTTTTTTGGGGAGGGCCATTTTGAGTTCTTAGCTAGAGGTCCTCTGGTGCCTCTGACCAAACTACAAATCCCAGGATTCCATAGGATGCTGCCATGGCAGTTACAGTGGAATCATGATGCATAGTCCAAAAGGGCATCTGGAATGCAAAATATGAAGAACACAGGATGGTGGAGGAAGGGGGAAGTTCGTTTGGGAAACATGCTAAGTCTGACTGTCCCTTTGGGCAATGGACCTGAAGAAAAAGACAGTCTCAGGCTCCTTCTACACTGCCACTTCCATATAAAATCCAGATTATCTGATTTCAACTGGATTATATGGCAGTATAAACTCATATAATCCAGTTCAAAGCAGATAATCTGGATTATATGGCAGTGTAGAAGGGGGCTCAGGTGGAAGTATACCATCAGAGCTTCTGTCCAAATTGTGTCCGGACCCCCCCCCCCCCTTCACTTCCTCTTGCTTTTTCTCTTTCTCTCTCCCTCTGTAATGGAATGGATTGGGGCTCCTCAGGCTATCAGATGTGGCAGACTGGCAGTTTAGTGCAAGGTCTGAGGTTTCTGATGGCCACCCCTCTCTGCAACGCCACTCTATTATTGCCTATAGCATTTGACTCAACTTGCGAGAAGATTCCCCCCATGTCGTTCTTCTTTAATTGATGTTTTCTTGTCACTTTACAGAAACAAGATCAAGATGATGCTGATGATGACTTGGAAATTGCCATTGATAACACTGCTTTTATGGATGAATTCTTTGCAGAGGTGAGGAATGTTAGGAAGGGGTGGTGGTGGTTGAAATAGTAGCCCTAAATTCAAAATATAGAGCCAAAGAACAGAGATATGCTGGATTTTCATGAAGTTTGATGGGAGGTGGGATTATTAAAGTTGTTGTTTTTAGAGGCATCTGCAAAAATATAGCTCCCCCCCCCCCCAGGTTGCTACCCTCTTGCACAGTTTTTGTGCAAACGTTGAAATCCCTTTCTGCCCATGCTTGGGAGTCTAGGCAAGAAATATTATACCTGTTTCATAGAGTGGGTCATGAGCAAAGAAGCTTGGCATCAATGTCAGGGAAATAATTTCTTTTCCCCCTTCATTGGATTTCTTAACTTCCTTCCCTTAACTTTGCAGATTGAGGAGACCCGGCAGAATATCGACAAAATCTCAGAGAATGTAGAAGAGGCAAAAAAGCTGTACAGCATTATCCTGTCTGCCCCCATCCCTGAACAAAGTGAGTAGGATACAAACCTTGGTTAGAAAATCTGACAACTCTTCTTTCTGTGAGGTTCTAGATCGGACTTTGCCTTACCAAGACAAAGGAATGATGATGCTAATGCATAAAAATGGACCATGCTGCGTTTGATGTATCATTGCCACACATATGGATCTCATTGCCACTCAAACAGAAAGTTAAGGGAGTGTGATAGCTTTGTATCTCTGAGGTTCAAGAAGGGATGGAGTAAGTTTCCTGAAGAGGTTAGATCCCAAGAAGTAGCCTCTGCTCTCTTACAGCCTCAAAATGAGAGCTTTTTGAGGCTTTTTTCATATCTTTCCTTCTTGTACCAGAGTGGTGTCTTTCTTACTTACTAGTGAGGGTAAGGAAAAGGAAATTATTATTATTACAGGCAGTCCCCAAGTTATTGACATTCAGCTTACATCCAATTCGTACTTAATAATGAGGATGAGACAACAGAAAATTAGAGGAAATCTGCTCTTAGGAAAGGAAATTCACTCCTGGAAGAGTTATCATGGGGAAAAGATACCTCCACTGAAGTTTCCTAACCAATCCTTGTTTCCACCACAAGTCAACATTTTCAAAATCCTATTGTCACAGGGATAGAAAGTGAGGTGAAATCTTCTGAACAGGGCACAGACTGCAAAACAGAAATTACAGGCGTGTTCACTTTTCCCTATGCTATCCAAAACTCACTCATTCTCTCTCTGTCTCTCTCTTTTGGCTGGAGTAACACTTAAAATGTATATGTTCCAACTTACATACAAATTCAAGTTAACAAAGCTATAGAATCTATCTTGTCCATAGTCTGGAGACTGCCTGTATTATTATTCTTCCACTTTTATCTCTTAATCAAGACACAAAACGGATGTTTGAGACACAAAGCGGCAAAGTTATTGCTGTTTACATGGCATCCAGTACTAATATACTTGTTTGTGTTTTACAGAGACAAAGGACGATCTGGAACAGCTCACGGCAGATATCAAAAAAATGGCTAACAGTGTCCGAAACAAACTTAAGAGTAAGACAGTGTCCATTGGGTTAACTTGTCTTGGGAGTTCATATTTGTGTAGCTTGTCTTTTAATTAGGGCAGGCCTGCATTTTGAACAGCTGGTACAATTCTGTGGCACTTGTGGTGTAACCAGTAAGAAATACATGAACTACAGGTGTCATACTGTTGAGTTTAAATGCCGGTGTGTGTGGTGGCACACAATAATAATAATAATAATAATAATAATAATAATAATAATAATAATAATAATAATAATAATGATGATGATGAACCAACTTTATTTATATTCCGCTCTATCTCCCTGGAGGAATTCAAGTCAGATTCCAAACATAAAAGGCAAACATTCGATGCCCGAATACAACAACAATACATCTATAGCAATGAAATTTAACAACCCAACATGTAAACACAAATTATGACTTAACAACTAAAATTAAATAAAAAACGCAGCCTGTTGTATCAGACATAAGACAAAACTAAGATAACTAAAGGTAACTATCCCAATTGTATTTTTTCTGTCTCCTTTAAAACACTTAACTTCAGCTACTAAAGAAATCACCATAATATTTTTAGGCTACAGTTTAATTAGAAAACCTTGTGAAAAAATGTGCAATTCAGTGCACGTTTTTACCCCACCCCTCATTTTTAAAGGAGATATGGCATGCTTCAGTAGTTTGAGTGTTAGACTAGGATTCAAGTGTTAGTAATAGTAGAAATCCCTGCTCATCTGTGCTCATCTGTGGAAATCCACTGAGTGACTTTGGACTTTCAGCTGTGGAGGAAGGCAAACTTCCTTTGAAAAATTCTTGCCAAGAAAACCCTAAGATAGTATTGCGATAAGTCAGAGTTGTCTTGAAGACATATTATAGTATCACTCCTTTTATAGATTTTCTAATTGACATTTTCAATGCTATTTTGCCACCTTCATCTTTTCCCTTGTTCTGAAAAAATTCCCTTGTTCAGTTCAGTGTCTCTTATTTATTTATTTATTTATTTCAGATAGTTGCACCCCCGTCCTTCTCACACACACACACCCCTGGGGGGAGGAGGAGGGCTCAGCGTGGCTTCCAGCCGGCAACAAATTGATGCCTCCAATGTACACATAATAAAGTACATAATAAAATCCAATAATTACATACATTTAAAACATTAGATCACATTAATTAATTTAAATTGGTTTCTGTTTCAATAACAGCCTGGTGGCCTTATCTGAGCTGAATTCTGTAGTTAGAGACTCCATCAAGCTTACCCTAAGGCCTGGTCCCAAATCCACGTTTTTAACTTCTTTCTAAGGGAAAGGAGGGACATCGATAATCTAATTTCACTGGGGAGTGAATTCCACAGGCGGGGGGCCACCACTAAGAAGGCCCAGTCCCTCGTCCCTGCCAAGTGTGTTTGCGCCAGAGGCGGGGCCGAGAGCAGGACCTCCCCAAAAGATCCCCAGAATATCTTAAACTCAAACTATAAGTATGGCTGATAGTTTAATGCAAAACCTGTCTTTGCTTTCCCTTTTTCCCAAAAAGAAGTGTCACAAAAATGAAAATTCACTGTTAACATAACACAGGAACCTTCTATTTCCAAATTGAGTGAAGTAAAATTTTAGGTATGCATTTACATGCGTGGAGGGAGACACAAACAGCACATATGAACACAGTTAGGAATGCTGTGACTTCTGTATCTTCCAAATAAGGTGCTAAGGTCTCTTAATGGAGGAAGACAGAGAGGCAAAGCAGCCTTCCGTCTCTGATGTGCAACTCTTTTCCTTGCTTTCACAGGTATGGAACGCAACATTGAGCAGGATGAGGTCAGATCATCAGCAGATCTGCGGATACGGAAGTCCCAGGTAAGCGGAGCGCTTTTGCACTAGCATATTGTACTGTGCCTTTATCTCCCTCTAGCCATAATGAATGAGTGACACAATAAAAAAATGGATAATCCACAAGTATATTTATGGGAGCCTCAATATATTTGTGCCTTATCTTGAGAAGAAGAAAAGGGATGCTGCAATTCTTGTCCACTTTGAAGCCATATCTTCAAGTTTGCATCTTAATCCCAAATATGTGAGAATTAGCAGGGATTCTTAATACTGAAACTCTAAGCACATGTTCAAAAGCACTTAATTCTTTGACATGCTTTTGAGCTCCAGTACTTAAAACGGGTTTCAGGTTGAATTCTTTGCCTCGATTAAGCCCTGAAAGACACTTAAGGAAGGTGGAGCAGATGGAGGCAGGGATGAGTATATTTATGTATTATATCCTTTTTGTCTATCATGGTTTGTTTAATTTTTGTAATTGCATACTGTTGGTTCTGTATTTAATTTGAAATATATATTTGTTTTATTATGTATTTTGTAGTTTTATATTGTGATCCATTCCAAGTCCCTGTGGGGAGAGGGAGGGGAAATAAATAAATAAGTTGTTGTTGTTGTTAGCTTTTCAGCTTGGTAAGAGATTTGGTTCCACCCAAGATGCCACTGAACATACTGTGTCTTGTTTCTTATAAACTTGATTTTGAGCTTTTAAAACCTTCTTTCCAAGTGAGCAAAGGCAAATGGGTTTCATCTAAAGCTAGTAGAACTGTAGAACAGACAGTTCAAAGAAACCAATCCTGAAAGTTTTTTTTCCTTTCTTGTGGTCAGCATTCAGTCCTTTCCCGAAAATTTGTCGATGTGATGACGAAATACAATGAGGCACAGGTGGACTTCCGGGAACGGAGCAAAGGGAGAATCCAGCGGCAGCTTGAGATCAGTATGTATACTATTTTCTGAGTAACCTTGGCTTTTCAGGCAAGATAGAGAAAACAGGAGATACTTGTTTTTCTTAGTCTTCTAGAATAGTATCTATCTGGGAGATAGCTTTTGTGACTTCCTGTGCTAAACTGAAAATCATTTTGAGTGCCTCAGGCATGTGTCACACTCAGAAGAGCCACCTTGATTGAATGTAATAGAGTAAATAAAATAAATAAATGTACCAGTCGTAACCAAAATAGTGCCATTTAGTTTCCTCCAAAACCTGTCACTGTTCCAACCATCTTTCTAAGATTTCAAACACTTTTATATTGTTGCCTTTTTGTAGCTATTTGTTATTAGCTGCCTTGGACATGTTTTTCCAGAAATGCCTAGATATGAATTTCATAAAGAAAACGAAGAGTAAAATTTCTGCTTTTAAATGTTGTGACGAGAAAGTACATGAAACCCTGTGGAGAATAGGGAGGTGCTAAAGTGAACATTATTGGGACGTGGAGGCAATAGTCATATCTTAGTGATTCCCTGTGGCTGGGATGGAGGTGCTTGTTGTAATGTTTGATGCCCACTCCTCTTTTTTCAACCAATCTATAGCTGGGAAGAATACAACAGATGAGGAGCTGGAAGAAATGTTAGAGAGTGGGAATCCTTCAATATTCACATCTGGGGTGAGTATCTCAAGCAACTGATTTAAATCCTCAGAGAAAGGGGAAAGGAGAAGCAGTAAATCCTAATCATAAGGAAATATTGATGGAAGGAGTCTGGGGCCTTTTGCTGACCCAACATCCACCTTGGTCAGTTGCACCTGACGTGAACACATTTCATTTTCAGATGATTTTTTGACAATATGGTTGGTGGTATATCAGGGGATTGAGAGGTTGTGGGGGAAATCCTGGTAAACTGCCTTGAGTCCCCTTTGGGGTTGATAAGGGTGGGATATATAAATATAGTAAATAAATAAATATTTTTTGGAGATTGGGGGCTTCTGAGATTTCAAAATCTGTCAGGGGTGCTTTGAATGCAGTTTTCTTGCTTCTTGGCAGGAGGTTGGACTGGATGGCCCACAAGGTCTCTTCCAACTCTATGATTCTATGAAAAGAGAGCCCCGAGGGCTGCATGTTTCCAATAGATGAGGCTATATCTATGGAGTTATTCTTTGGCATGTCAGGTGTCATTACCAACAAAATGGCAGCAGAGTTTGTCTAGGAAGATAAATGAAAAGGCATGTATAGGGGAAAGGAAGCAGGATTGTGGCAAAGTGTTGGTGGTGGAAAAGGAAGAGATGGAGCATACTGAGAAGGTTTCAGGATACCTCTCATGGTTTTCTTAGGTGAAGATGTGATCACTCTGGTTTGCTTATAAGTAATAACCCTGTGCTTCTTTTAGATCATGGATTCTCAGATTTCAAAGCAAGCACTGAGTGAGATTGAGGGACGGCATAAGGATATTGTGCGGCTTGAAAGTAGCATCAAGGAGCTTCACGATATGTTTGTGGACATTGCCATGCTGGTGGAAAACCAGGTAACAGAGCTGCGTGAAGTGGGGATGAAATGTGGAGAGAGAAGTTGCTGGCTGAGATAAACAGGGTTTTTTTAACACACACACACACACAAACTCTTTTTTTTTTTTTGTTGAAACTACATGAAGAGATTTAATAATCTGGAAGTACAGCCGCACTGATGGAGACTATCCCAGCCTATAAAGCCTACTTATATATTACATCTATATCCTGCCTTTTCTCCCATAAGCTCAAGGAAACACTCAAGCACTCTTCCTCCCTGCTTTGTCCTTGCGCAAATCCTGTGAGGTGGTCAAGCTGAGAGAGAGCGAAAGCAATTGGCCAAACATTATGCACTGAACTTTCATCACTAAGTAAGGAGTTCAACCTAAATTTCCCAAGATTAAGAGGGTGGAATCTATGTTTACTGATAAATTTATTTGAGTTCCTTTTCTATTGTGTCACCATTGTGCCCTCACATGGGCCTCTTTTCCATAGTACACTGGCAGAAAAAAGCAGCCCATTTCATTCTGTGCTGCTGTTGAAAGGAAGTGCCCATTCATCAACTGCACTCTGCACATGTTTTGCACATGTTTCTACTGGAGCTTGGAAATATTACTTTTGGGTGGGATTCTAGAAATTGTATTCAGAAAGGTGGCTTTTCCAGAGTGGTTTCCAAATGAAGTAACACAGAGCAGCAGCAGAGCCTCCGATGTGGCCAGTGCTTCCTTGCATTACCTCTGCCCTGTGGGAGGGAGACTTTAGAAAGGGGCCCTCACTTTTAGGATGGCGAGCTCCAGAACAGGCATTTAAGAACCCAGAAAGATCTTCTGGTGACAAAATATTGGATCAGCTTCAGTGGAAGTAACTGTACTGTGGATAGCTTTGGAAAAAAATAATCATCACTGCATGTTGGCAATGATAGGCCCTGAAATAGCTGTGGTTGCCAAGGGATAAAAGGGCTGCTGCACCATTGCTAAAAAAGTGCTTGGGATGGACTTCTCTGTCTGACCAAATAAGTCAGTTCTTTTGTTCATGGGTTTAGATATTATGCAGAGAGTGCTGTGGGGTGCAGAAACAAAGGGAGAAGAGGTGGGGTTTGGCTGAGAGAGAGGGTGCTGATTGCAGAGAAAAGGAGTTGTCAAATACATTCTGAAAATATAAAACAGTGGTTCTCAACCTGTGAGTCCCCAGATGTTTTGGTATTCAACTCCCAGAAATCCTAACATCTGGTAAACTGGCTGGCATTTCTGGGATTTGTAGGCCAAAACCCCTGGGGACCTACAGGTTGAGAACCACTAATATAAATGATCCCCCCCCCCTTTTTTTTTTAACTGATGTTAACATGGATCCAGCCTAATTTTGATTTTATTGGGTTGGTTGCATAGTAGAGGAACATAGCTGACTGCAGCTATTTAATTAGGACTAATGTAGACAGAAATGGCCCATCATCAAGCAACTTAATATAATGGTGGACTGCTATAGACAGAAATGGGCAATTACTAAGCCGACTTGCATCCCAAAGTGGAGATCTCACTATGTTTTGAGAACTGGATTCATGGCTGATGAGTCTGAGGGTGGCTTATAGCCTGTTTCTGTCTCCAGATAGATTCCTGTCTCTTAGATTTCAGGGGCTGTGTCATTTGCCATGTTCTCCAATAATTGCTGTTATACTATTGAGCTTAAAAAGAAAGAAAGATAATCCTAATATTTTCCCGACTTGACTCGTTCAGTTATGAGGCAGAAACAAACTGTCTAATAGTGTTTAGGCTTTGAAACTGGTCTCTAAGGCCCCATTTCTTGTTTTCTGCTCACAATGCAATGCCGAGGAGGCGACATACAGGTCAAATTACGGTGAGTGCTTCTTTTGAGAATTTAAAGAAGGGCGGGAATGTGGGGTACATTGGTAGGTTAATGTGAATTTTGGTTGGAGGATGGTAGAAGCCAAAGTCCAATACATCCAGAAAAGTTTGAGTTGGGGAAGGCTGTGGAGATGAAATAACTATTTTTGGAAAAGGAGTCATTCTTCAGAAAGAAAGCAAGGGCAGCAAGGATAAATACTTTGATCTTATATAAATAATGCAAATGGTTTGTGTCTCTTTATCGTGATTCTATAGTATACTTCCATAGGAAGTTAACAAAGGATTTTTTCTAGCATTACGTGACTTCTGGCAGTTGTTAATTCGATAAGGTTTGCTATTATCCACAGCAAGCATGAAAATATATCCCCAGCAGATGTGGGAGGTCGTGCTGTAATATTTTAAGTTGTATTAAATAAAAGTATCTGTTATTTATCTCTTGTGCAGTCACTATATCTGGAAGTATAATAAAAATACAATTTGAGATCGTAGAAGAACAGCTTTATACAGAGAGCAAGCTGGAAGAGGATCTGTTAGGATCCTGGTGACAGAAATGCTCTTAAGACAGTCGTTCTCAAACTGTGAGTCCCCAGGTGTTTTGGCCTACAACTCCCAAAAAACCCAGCCAGTTTAACAGCTGTTAGGATTTTTGGGAGTTGAAGGCCAAAACAACTGGGAGCCCACAGGTTGAGAACCACTGCCCTAAGAGAAGGCCATGGGATGGGACGAGGAAATGCCTAAAGTGGGGATGCTATAGGTGGTGGTTACATCACAAACTTCTTGCTTACTTGAGAGGCAAACTAATAAAAGAGATCAGATATATGATTGGGTGTCTTTTGAACAGAACGAAAGAGCTTTACAGAATTAGGAAAGCTGAAGATATTTCCTCAGTGACCTTTCTCCATATCTAGTAACTATTTTCTAACATGCATTTTTCTCTGTGTGTCTCTTCTCCTTTCTCCAAACTTTCACAGGGAGAAATTATAGATAACATAGAACTCAATGTGATCCACACTGTAGAGCATGTAGAGAAAGCTCGCGAAGAGACCAAAAAGGCCTTGAAATATAAGAGTAGTGCGCGCAAGGTGAGCCTCTCCCATTGACTACCAGCTCTTCGTCATCTGGCTTACACTTTCTGCTTCTGCCTCTCTGTTTTGCTCCTGGCTTTCCTCCTTCCCTCTGCAAGGGAGCCATGATTGACCGCATAGAGAACAACATGGACCAATCTGTAGGCTTTGTGGAAAGAGCCGTTGCTGACACCAAAAAGGCTGTAAAGTTTCAGAGTGAAGCCCGAAGGGTGAGAAGAACTCATTGGAGCCTACCCTTCTCCCACCCTCTTCCACACCCCTTGTCCCCGTGTCTTCTGAGTTGCAGCCCTCAAATTGTTTTCTGCAAACCAACACCTCTTGCCCCTCACTACTCCTACCACCTTCATCCCTGTGGATTATTTTTAGATGTTTTTCCATCCTACCCACTTGCAGTATTTTGAGCCATCCCTGTGACCTGTGCAATACCCAGCCCACTTGTCAAATAAAGATACGCCTACCTGTTCTTTCCCAGTAGCATTCAGGCACCCTATTTCCCCTTTTTTTTGTAGCATGAGGAAGTTCTCTTCTTTCACAGCAGTTTTGTTCTCACATTAGAGCCTTGAGGATATATCTTTTTTAATGTATTAGACTGCAACTCTACTACTTCTGCTTTGAGCTGCCTTATTTTATTATTGTGTTTTCATCTCTGTTTCAGGAGGGGATTTGGGGAGGGGGAAGGTCTTCTGGTTGGGGGTGGGGACCTTTCATGCTGCTCTGATCCACTCATGGGATTCCCCGCCACTGGTTTTACCGCAGTTTGACAGAGAAAATTTTAAACAGCAAAGTGATCTGGAAGCAGGAAAGTTGCCACTGTTGAATTTCCTTTAGCTGCTTAATGTCTTAGGAGTTCCGCAAGGAGAAAAAGGTGGCTCAGTGGTGGAAGAGGGTATCTTCCCAGTACTCCCTGTGTTCACCTCATGCCAAGAGTGGCCAAGACCAAGAGCCTTCTTCATCCCCAATACATTTGCATTATTTGTTTTCGTATTGCAGGAGACATGATGGGAAGCAACTTGTATTCATCCAAATATTGTGGGACTGCAATTTTTCTCGGTCCTAACCGATGCAGCCAATGCTCAAAAAGGGTGGAAATTTCTATCTAGCAATGTGGGCAATACGATTGGGAAATGAGGTGTTTTTGATAAATGAATTGTTATTCCTGAATAAGACTGAAATTAAATCATTCTAGGCCCTCCTGGTGGCACAGCGGATTAAACTGCTGAGCTGCTGAACTTGCTGACTGAAAGGTCGGCGGTTCAAATCCAGGGAGTGGGGTGAGCTCCCACTGTTAGGCCCAGCTTCTGTCAACCTAGCAGTTCAAAAACATCCAAATGTGAGTAGATCAATAGATACCCCTTCTGTGGGAAGGTAACTACGCTCCATGCAATCATGCCAGGCACATGATCTTGGAGGTGTCTACGGACAACACCAATTCTTCGGCATAGAAATGAAGATGAAGACCACCCTCCAGAGTCAGACATGACTAGACTTAATGTCAAAGAAAACCTTTACCTTTACCTTTACCTTTTTAAATCATTCTTCTGACTGCTGCCTTTTATGGCAAATTAGAATAAAATGTTTAAACTGAATTTCATATCTTTTCAACTTGCGTATTGAAAAATGATTGTTTTACTTTTAAAAATCTGAGATGACAGTAATATTTAGCTTGGGCAAGTGAAGGAAGATGCAGCCCTCCAGATGCTGTTGAGCTGAATCTCCCAGCAGCTCTAAGCAGTATAATCTGTGCTGCAGCCCAGCAACATGTGAAAGAATGCTGGGAGCTGCAGTCAAACAGTATTTGGATGGCCATAGGATTCCCACCTCATGTGATCCACAACTAAGCCTTACTAAATATTATGAGACTTGCTTCTCAGTACATGTCCATAGAATTGGATTGGGAATCCCATCTAGGATCCGTGTGCCATAGTTAAATGTTGTATAAGTGGCTATGTTACCTGGTGTTCATCTTCAGGTAGCTCACATATACAGGTCATCACTTGGCATAGCAGACACACTGAGTGGTGAACTTGCAGGTGTTGATTTTCCTTTAAACAGCATAATTCAGAGTGTTTTTGCATAATCAGGGGCCCCCTGTTTCTGTCCCCCACCCTTCCTGGATTTCTGTCAGTTGTTGTTACTCCATGACATAATGCTAAACCTTCCCTTTTCTTTTACTCTTCTAGAAAACAATAATTATCATTGTGATAGTGATTGTCTTGCTGGGAATTGTAGCTCTCATTATTGGACTTTCAGTAGGTCTGAAACAGTGAACCGTAAGTAGCCTGAGGTGTCATGTGAGGGAGCAGGAGGGCTCTTTCTGGTTCTTTGCTGACTCTTTTCCACTCTCACTGACTCCTTTGCTACTTATCTATCAGAAGGGTTTCTGCATATTTCGGTCTTTGTCAGGTAAATATTACTACTTCAGGAACAGGGTTAACTGTCTGTTTGCAAAGTCTGGATCTGCCTAATCCTTCACTTTTTCCCCCTTTAAGCCAAACTGCATAGTATCCACAGATAAAGTAAGAGGATATGATAGGGGCAGATAGAGATCTCTATTAAACCTCTTAAAGATTATAACTCAGAGAAAAGGACTCTAAGGTAACCTGCTTCATATCCATATTAGCCCCATGTAATGGATTTTTGAAGTTCTATTATTATTATTATTATTATTATTATTATTAAAAATCTATTCTCATTCTCTCTCCACTTTTCTCTCTCTTGGTTGAGGGCCAAATGATGGAAAATATTTTGGAAAGGCATGACCTTTTAGAGATCATAACCTTTTGGAAAACCAGTAATCTCCATAGCCTTTTGGAAGTGTGGCCCTTTTAGAGATTAATTGGCATTCACACTATTTGGAATAATCATAACCTTTTGTCAAGTATGATCTCCCCGAGAAGAGTTAAATTCTCATCTGAGTGAATCTTCACCTTAGTGGTAAATATCCACTAGAATACATTCAAGGCAAATTAGGCTTCTCAGTTGTCAGACTGATATTCCTGGTTATCTCTCTGAACTGTTAGGAACAAAGATAGGTCAATGCACAAAATATATAGCAGATCTTCAGAAGTGTTATTTCAGTTGCCCAAAAAAATCTACTCTCCCCTAAAATATATTGCTTTTAAGTCATGTTCTCAAGAGACCAAAATAGTCTTCATTAAAAGTAACATAGTTTATTTACTTACAAATTTTATGTATTCAGCATACAAATACATTTCTTATTGGTTGGTAGTTAAAACAATCTGTTCTCTAAAGCATTCTGTTTTAGTCTATTCTCTGTTGCATACAGACTAATACTCTTTTCAGTCTAATACATTACTGAACATTGACTCAATAAAGACTGACTATGCACTGCATCATACTGACATTACCAACGGCATACTAACTTCTGACTTCGTAAAGTGTACTGCTTCTGATGCAAACTGGCTTCTAAAATGGAGTCTCAGTCTGAATAGTCCCAGATCTGGTCACATGGTCTGCAGTCCCTCCCACAACCTCAAACAACATAGAGTTTAAAGGAAAACTGCATAGTAAACTACATGGATACAATATAGTAAGCAATCACAATTATATACATAACAACTAGTATAGAAGGTTGTGGTTTCTAATAAAAGAAGAAAGGGACATCAAACTATAGAGTTGGAAGAGACAGCAAGGGCCATCCAATCCAAACCCCATTCTGCCATGCAGGAATACACAAAGCACTCCCAACAGATGGCCATCCAGCCTCTGCTTAAAAGCCTCCAGAGAAGGAGACTTCACCACACTCCCAGGCAGCAGCATATTCCACTATCAAACAGCTCTTACCATCCGGATTTTCTTCCTAATGTTTAGATGGAATCTTTTTCCCCCCTGTAGTTTGAATCGATTGTCCCATGTCTTAGTCTCTGGAGCAGGAGGAAACAAGCTTGCTCCATTTTCAATGTAATATCATTTCAAATATTTAAACTTGGCTCTTACGTCACTCTTTAACTTTCTGTTCTCTCTTCTTCAAATATCTCTGAAAAATTAGCAATGCAGAGATTAATAACATTATATAAGCAACCAAGGTTCCTGCAACTCTAAAGATGTAACCAGATTTATTTATTTATTTATTTATTTACTGTACTTGTATACTGCTTTTCTCAGCCTGTCGGCAACTCTGTTTTTTTAAAGCAACAGTAATAAGAATAAGTCAGTCTGTACTTGGGAGGGTGGAAAGCTAAAATTCTTCTTTTGGTTTCTGATCTATTAACCTGTCCTTCTGGATTTTTCTTCTTCTTTCGTTTTTGCTTCTAAATATTTCCTAGCATTTGGGTTAGGGTGGGAAAGCATTTTTGACCAATTGGAAAGAGGCCACGTTTTGCCAAGGGCTCCGGGGTGTGGTTTATGAAGTTTCAAGAACAACTTTGCTGGCAGTGCCTTTAAAAAAGAGAGACAACTCTAATGCTGGCAGTGTCCCAAGAGTTGACACCTTCCTCAAACATACACATATACAGCTTGTCAGTTCTCCACACACTTGCCATTCTGTGTCTATAACAAGGATAAGAATTATGTTTCCCTCTAGATTTTGGATGGCAAGTTCAGTTGGTCCAAAAACCTCTGAAGGACCACATTATTCCAACCCCATCTGTAGTGCACAAACAAGTCTGCCCTGTGTTTGTAGAGTAATGCTAACAGCACGGCTTTATTGCCTTAACATCCCATCTGAGTTCTAGTGGTGCTACAAGGCCATCTGTGAAGATGAGAAAGGAACAGTGCTATCAACTGAGAATAACCATTGTGCCAACCTTTCCTTTAATCTCACTCTTGGAACAGGTTAATGGCAGTTGATTTTGAACATCCCTCTGTAAAATATTTGTATTCTTGGCTTCTGGCTCTAAACATCATCCTCAGATTGTGAATCATTGCTGCACCTCAAACACCAACCTTTACTCTCTTTTATTGTCTTATGTTGAGGTAGAAAATCTGGTCACCACTAAGATGTCTTGGACCATAGTTCTCACATCGTCTGGTCATAACCTTTATTAGCCTATAAGAATGATTCAAAAAGTTTGAATGTCATCAGGTTCTCTACATCTGGCCTCTGCACAGTTTGCCTACACTCAGTTTAATAGAGAAAGTAGAATGTGAATTTATTGTCTTCCCTCAAAACACATTCCCTTTGTTCTCCATCATTCTATAGTAATTTAGTACGTCCTTGTGTGTGAAAAATAACCTTTCCCACTTTGTTGCTTTCCTTTTCCTCCAGATGTTCCCAAGCTCCTCCTGCGTTGATAGCAAGACTTCCCCTCCTGATCCTCTCCACCGTGGTGTGACCTTCCCTTGCCTACCCTCCAGCCTGGCCTCTTGGATTAAGTATGAATGGTTCCCTGCAGAATGAGTTTACTTTCACCAGTGCTTCCTGTGAAAGCTCACTCCTTGGATAAAGCTCTGTAGCTGGAACATCCCATCTACCTTGATGAATCCCCCAAGTCTAGGGACGGCATAGCACTCCAGAGAGGAATCTCCTATCAAATCTGTTCCCTATCCATCCCTTCCATCTTTCCCACTATACTTGGTGCCTCCAAATGAAGCATTTCCTGTTTTGAAGTCTACAGCCTTCTGAAACGTTCTACTGTACAGTTGAATGAACCTTAAAGGGAACTGTGGAGTTACAAACCTACCTCACTGCCTTGTTTTCAGTAGTGCCTTTTTCATTTTGAACCATGATGTCAAAGAAATGCCAGACATTGTTACTTATAAAAATGTTTAATATTATTGGGTAGGAGTCAAAGTGGTTCCTACCATATAATTCCAAACAGCTATCCAGCTGTATACTTTGGCTAGTCTTTGAAGGATGGAGCAGATTTTTCAAGCCCTACATTGCTTGCAAGTTGCAGCTCTTATCTCATTGGCAGTCCTTCAGCACACTTTGCTCACGAAGTGCCTAAAAAGAGGTTAGGGCAAAGAACTATGTTGAATACCTAATACAGCAAGATTTTTACACAAAGTTTGAATCGCGCCATCTCCAGGAGAGTGATTATTTTAGGATCTAATACACTCCCAATGTGAAAATGCCAATATATCCAGGATTTCTAGATCATGGTCACAGTTGCATTTTGCTGAAGGGATGTAGCATTAGCATTAAAATCCTCCAGATCTGAGCTCTTTATGTTCCTTTTTTTTGTTTCAGCTTTGTGCTTCACAATAAAGTTTCCATACTTTGGGCACTTAGAACTGGTCTGTGAGGAAAGGGAAAGCTGTCACAAGATGCCCATAGCTGAAGACACTCTTTAGAGTGATGTGTTGCCTGTAAATTTGATAGCTCACTTCACTTGTTTTGAATGCAATTCAATTTCTGTGTGGATGCAATTATTTCCTAATTGAACATTTAATTTTACTTGAGTGAGTAAAAACATGATGGCATGTTTTCCCTCCTTATGTAATTACATTTGTTTGAGTTTGTCTGATGACATAAGGATTGTGATTAATCAAAGGCATTGTTTGCTTTGAGATGTTGGTTTTTTGTTTTTTGTTTTTTACTGTGGGTTTCTACCTCCTATGAAAAGAAGTGTTGAATGCACCCTGCCCATAATAGCTGTTTGCAACCTGGCAACTTGGTTACAGAACAGGGAAAAGCTGGTTTGGAGAAAAACATGGGGCTACTTGATAAGGAAGGACAGCTAAGAAATATGCCTTCCTGACATCTCAGTTCCAAGCCCTCCTGTTGGATAAAAGTTTTGTTGAAAAATAATTTTATCTATGTTAAGAGTTGCAATTTTTTTATTCACATGATAAAAAAATTCCATTTGAGCTTTGTTTCCAAATAATGAGTTTTAAATTTATTTCTATGAGTAACTTAGTTATTATTACTACAGCTTGTAAACGCTTTGGTCCTGTTGCTGCTTTGCTTTCAGCTGGACCTTGTCCTACACAGGCATTGTTCATGATGGCTAGAGGGCTGGTTTGCGTATTTGTGATATGTAAAATTGGTTAGGAGTATATCATGTGAGGTCCTTGCGTGAAGAAACAAGTTTGACCAAGCCAAGCTGTAGTGTAAGAGCAAGTGCCAGATTTTTCTCTTCAGTCTTGTCATATATACAATGATAGCATGATGACTCCACTTTGACTGCCATGGTTCCATGCTGAGCTTTGGAGTTTAGGGAGGATTATTTAGAATTATCAGATGGAGAAGGTATGCCTCCTCAAGCTACAAATTCCATGACTCCACAGCATGCAAACATGGTAATTAAAGTGGAAGCATAGCTTTATAATTGTATAGTGTTAAGAGGGTCCAGTAAATTCACTGCATGGAAGTCTAACTCAGGGCTTAGTAGTAGTATTTATACCGATATTTTTAAGGGCAGGTGCACTCAAAATTATTTTAATTTACTCAGATTATTGGTTGGAAAGATAACCTTAGTTGATCTCATCTATGTGAGGTAACAGCACTTTGAGTGGAATTTAAGGGTTTATTTTCTGGGAAATATGACCCCCTTCTTAGTCACTAGCACATCCTTCTTGGTGCACCTATTTCACACAATACACCATTCACACCCTTGTTGTGCCGTTTTCTAAATATTCCTCATGTGTTCCTTTGTAAGAAGCATTTGGATCGCCCCCAAAAGTGAGCACACAGACGGAGCTAGGAGGAGGATGTCATTTCCTCTAGGCTTTGATGTCTGAAACTTGCAGGGTGGTGGTTGAAGCAATGCTTGGAATTACCAGCCTTAATAGCCATCTGATTTATCTGGACAGCAGCAAATTAGGTTCTGTCAATGCTTTTTCATTTTTAAAATGTAAAAATAAATGAATTTATTTAAACATAAACATGTGGCATGCATGGTGAACCTCTGGACTGGGTGTCGGCAGTACAAGCAACTGTGCCTCTATTGTTTGGGCTCCTTTATTTCCTTGGTGTGATAAACATTATTTTTGGACAATGCCCAAGTTCTGGGTGATGTCCAACACTCAGAATTGAGAGCATTGTAGTCCAAACATAATGCTTCTGTGTATACTTTTGTGATATCCTTGCAGCCTATGTGGTGGAGGGGAGGGGAACATTACTGGTACAAACTTAAATGGATTGAGTTCTGTGTAAGCACATTTAGAGCACCAAACAGCACTGGAATCCTTTCTCCCACATCTCTTTGGATAAGGTTGTATTTTAATGGGGGCTTGTATATGTGGAGATTGTTTTGAAAATCTACCTAATCCATCTGAAGAAATTTTACAAGAATCGAAAAAAATGTACTGAGCATGTGTATACTTTTGTTGGAAAATGCAATTTCTCAAACCCTGTCCTTAAGTGATTTGATACATTCTGATAGTTTTGATCTGTCCATCATATTCTACTCCTAGCCAACAATGTGCTGCTATCTAAACATTTTCAACCTTTTCGAAACAAGCTGCACATATGTCATTGTTCTGATACTAGTATCTCTGGCATGCTTTCTTCATAAATTGTCAAGAACTCTTCAGGAACCAAAATAGTACTTTGCTGCTATGTGAAACTAAAGAACTGAGGAGATAGGTGCCTTCTAGAATATTCTGGTGCCATCTACATCTGTGAAAGAAGAACCCATAATTTCCTCTCGTTCTTGTAGATGAGATCCCAGCCTTCTAGTCCACAACGTGTTCCTATTACCTGCAAAAGCCCTGCCCCCTTTTCCCTCCCTCTTTGCACTAGCCTCATTTTGCTTGAATAAGTCTGGGTATATTTGCTTTTAATTTTTACTTTCACTGAGCAGAAGAAGATCATGATCATGATATGCTGCATCATTCTTGTCATCATCCTGGCCTCTACTATTGGGAGCTTCTTTACCTGAGCACCCATCCCTTGCCCCTCGCCACTTGCCTCAGGTGAGTTGCCAATAGAAACAGGATCTCATTGTTAATTGGAGTAATTTTCAATCTATCAGCACATTGCCGTCTGTTGTACAATTTTCCAACTGGACTAGCACAGATCTAACAGTGCTGCTGCAGAATGTCTCACCAGACCACACAAGAACACATCATGCTGCCGTCAGATCTGGAAAGCATTAAATGGAAAAAAGATGTCAACCTAGCAATAAGCCTTTGCAATCCAGTGGGGTGAGAACAGAAGCACTAGTTGAAATTTTCAGAAAATTAAGATGAGAATGAGTTGAGAGATTAACAATTGTTTAAAGACAACGTTTCATCAGTGTTGTCTGCTATTGTTTATTGCTTTCCTTTTCTGTTACCTTCTCACTAATTTACTTTTTCTTTTCAGAATGGATCTGCAAGATGGCTTTTTTCTTTCATGCCTCCCCAGGTCCTACAGTCTGCAGTGCTTCCTCTTTTTATGGACATATCATCACCTTTCAGAATGTTTTAGCTAAATACCTGGCACCTGGGGTATCAAAAGCAAAAGCCAGAACAAGGCCCAAGCTTAGAATACTGGCATGGAGTATACAAGAGCAAGTGTGAAGATTACTGGAGCACCGGGGCCTTGTTCCTAGCTTCTTCCTTTAGCCAAACTCAGTTTTTATTGGTTCTTTAGAAATATCCAATTGGCCTTGGCTTTCAATTGTGCTGGATCCTTCTGCCCAGTGGTAACCTCTGCAGTGAAATGGAAACATTTGGGGAGAGGTCTTAACAGTTTTTTGTGTAACTCCTCTAAAGATAGTTAGATCACGGATCACTTGCTCTCCCACGATTTTAAGGTGTTTTCCCTAGCCATGCTTTCTCTTCTTGCTCAAAAAATGTCAAAGGAAAAAAATTAATAGCTCTTCTTAATATCTCCAAAGGTTTATGTGTGGAGTTGTGTATGGAGAGACAGAGTTTCCTCAGCAGTTGACTAATGTTGCTACATAAGCCCCATCACTCTTCTGATCTCTCTCTGTGTGTATACATATACATACACACACACATATATGCCAAATCTATTTTTTTCAATCTATTACAAAGAATTCTTCAGGCTCTATCTGCAGGCACCTCTAGTGGATCAATGGGCCTATTCTACCAATATTTTTTGTCCATTTCTCACAGTTGTATTAATATGTATAACTTATTATATAGGTCCCACAATATATTTTTATGTATATAACCAGTGTTCTGGGCAAGGGAACTTGTCACTTATTTTAACAACCTAAGCTGTATTTACTCAAGCGTATGTGTTTCCTGCCCCGTGGTATTTCCATTAGCTCCTTCTCCAGCTTGGGAAAACCCTCACATTGTTTTCCCTGTAAAAATAATTATCACCTGGCAGAGGAAGGGAGATCTCTGCAACTGCATGATGACCTGTCATTCCTTGTAAAAATTCAAAAGTCCCAGCCACTAGTGTGTGAAATGGGAACATGGTATTTTGTGTTGAAGAAGAGCTTATTCAAAGCTTTAAATTGTGGCTCATGTAAGCTACTTTGTTAGTATCGAGAAGGCATGGGTGTTAAAGGAATTTTCCTGAATAAAGAATACACTTGATTGAATTGGTGTCCGTAGTGTTAGATTAAGTAAGAAGTAAGTAAGAAACTGTTCTAATACTGTAGTACATGATGAATCCTTATTTCTAGCAGGAATTCACATGATACTCAGGGTTTGTTCTCGGTGCTGCACAAAAAAATGAATTAAGCTCCTTTCCAGTTAGCTTTCTTACTCCTTTTCTATCAGGATACATAATTATATACACTGCTGCCTTCTTCCAAAAGATGGCACCCAAGGCAGTTTTACAAGAACAGATGCAAATCTGTACTACTCCCCAATGTAGGTCCACTCTTTCTACATTCTGCTTCTGTGCTAGCCCAGAAGCACATACTGAATTTCAGTACTAGGCACATACTGAATTTCAGTACTAATGCACTGAAGTTAAGCACTGCAGACAAATCAATGCTACATATACCTTGTGAGATAGTATACTTTGTGCAATAACCACTCTAAATACTGATACTTTAAAGTAAAGTACAGAAAAAGAAAACCAAAAAGGCCAACATCATAGGATCTAGGCATTAAACTTGTCAACTAAATTCTGTGTTTTCCAGATTCTTGATTCACTACAAAATCACAGCTCTGATCTAAGGCACAGCAATCTAAATGGCAATCACTGGAATGCACAAGTGCAGTACTAAAAAGTACACCCGGTTTATTTAACCCAGATCCATGTAATTTCAACTCCATATTGGCAAAATCTGCAAGCTCCGTGTTATAGGCCACTCATTATTGACGGGAACCAGGGAGAGAAGATACAGAACATGTAAAAAGTTTCCAAGCAAAAAGTAACATTTTGCAGTGATATATTAAGTGAGGTTCACACAACCCCATTTATACTCTATCAGGAAGAAAGAATTTCCCCCAGTAACGGCCCTTCTGCTGCAAGTCATAGGGGCTGAGGTATTTCCTTATCCCCAGCATGTTGGCCATGGCAATGCGTTCAAAAGTCCATGGATTCTGGTTGTTGCGTCGCCTCTCCTCCTCTTTCTCATGCATCTCTTGTAGGGATTGCTTGCTGACAGCTTGGGCTGGGAAGGGCAATTTCTGCGCCACCTGAGTTAGAAAGCGCTTCACCTCATCAAATTCGCAGTGCCCTCCGACTTCCACTATGAGACGGCCCGCTCTCACTGCTGTCACATAGTGATCTATTGCACCTTTGCCACCACCCATCCTCTGTCCTAGCCCTTTCCGGGTGATGGGCTTGTAAGGAGGTGGGACTCTCCACACAGCAAACATTGTCTTGGGATTTAGGTGCCGGTTGATAGTCAGGCGCATCATTTCAAAGTGACCCCAACGGAGGTATCCACCACCCATAGCCTGCAGACAGGAGAGGAAAACATATTTGTAGTCAACATAAGGAAAGATGTTACACTTGAACAAACCTGCCGAAGCCACAAGGAAACACCTTTTAATCTGTCCACACCCTTTTCTAACACCACAGTATAATTTTATTCCACATCACTGAAAAGCTACAAGATGGATCTTTACACTCACCAGGATACCATATTGCCCTTCAGTGAATTCTGTGGCTTCTGTTGATGGACCACGGATATCATTTAAATTCTTGCGCTCTCGCCTGACTTTGGGCACAGCTGGGGCTTTATCAACAAATTTCAGTTTGGGTTTCTCAGGAATGGTGATACCTAGGAGGAATAGAATCATACAGTCTTCTTCCCAGAATAGCAGGTCTAATAGCAAACATAGATAAGCATTACTGGAGGAACTGGCTCTGAAACCACTTCAAGTTGTATGTATGTGCCTTCAAGTTGTCTGTTGACTTTTGGCGAACCCATAAATTTCATATCATTTTCTTAGGTTATGACAACTCAATACTTACATTTGGCTTAATAATTAAGGAAAACTCTGGAGGACTTAAAATATCACATTTCTAGCTACAGAATATTTCACTGATTTGTTCCTGTCTGAATCCTGTGTCTGTCCTTTCACAGTTTCTGTGTAGAGATTTCTTATCTGAAGAAAACTTTTAGAGAAGGGAGCAGATATCATCAATATGTTAATTTCAATAAGTGGCTCTCCAGAGGTTGCAGGCTGCAGCCATGACCCTGGCTAATGTAGCCAATAGTGAGGGATCATAGGAGTTGCAGTACAAAAATATTGCAAGGCCAAACTTGCCTATTTATGATCTAGAGCTGTGATTCTCAACCTGTGGGTCCCTAGGTGTTTTGGCCTGCATCTCCCAGAAATCTCAGCCAGTTAACCAGCTGTTAGGATTTTTGGGAGTTGCAAGGCCAAAACATCTGGGGACCCACAGGTTGAGAACCACTGATCTAGAGGCTGATGGCAAAGGGTACTAGAATCTAAGAGCAAGTGGTAAAAACAGCTTCTTCCAGTATGTCACAGAGAAAAGAGCTCTTGAAGTATTTTCAAGAAATGTATATTTGACCTTGCTTCCTTCTTAGAGCAACTAAAAAGACTAAGGATTTGTGCATCTATGTACAAGTCTACACATCTGATTAAGGCAATATAAACTGACCCTAATTTGAAAGCTTATTTCTCACAGACTTCAATGAATCATCACTTCTTAACCTAGCAGAAGGGATTATGAAGCCCTCCAGATCTTATAGAACTGAAACATCTAGCACTCTTTAAAAACAATACAATAATTAAAATGATGAACAATTTTAACAAATATAAACTTATTAGTCTTTCAATGGGAATTGCAGGCCTGCTTTTAGCTGATGAGATATGATTGTTGTTGTTTTGTGCTTTCAAGTCGTTTCAGACTTAAGATTGACCCTGAGTGAGGGCTGAGTAAATGATCTTGGAGGGCTGTATCCATCCCTCGGGCCTTAGTTTGAGGACCCCTGCCTTAGAGTAACATACAATTCCAATATATATAACTTATAGCTGAATACTGTTAAAACTTGTATAATTCATCCCATCCTCATTTTTTAAAAAGAAAACTCATTTTATGCCCACATAAACATTGTTTCTCAACATACCACTGTAATCTGGAGGAAGGACAAATTTCTTCAAACCAGCAGTGAGAATTTTGCTGCCACTGGAATCTAAAGAGAAATATAAGGAAGATAAAATACTTGAAGTTAATGCTAAGCAAAAAGTGAACCACCACAAATTCACTGACAAGGACACTGTCTCTCTAATGTACCAATTTATGATAAAATCATAGCTTTCTACATTTGGAAGAGGAGCTGCCTGCAAGAAGGAATGCTGCTTTTATATCTTTGGCAATTTTTGCTCTAAAAAGATGCTGAGAAATGCAGACTACCAAGAAATAGCTAAAGGATAAGGAAAAGGGTACTCACAGGATAAAAAAATAACTTTTCTTTCCAAAAACAAAGAAAGTTTAGCTTCAGCAATTAACAGAAATTAAGAATAGATACGAAGATTACCTATTTTACTGTTGCAGCCCAATTACACAGGGGAACTTGCTGAAGATAAAGGATTTCTGCATCACTGCTGTGAATATGTAGAAATAACATGTTGTAAGGCCCCCTGGTGGCGTAGTGGGTTAAACCGGTGAGCTGCTGAACTTACTGACCAAAAGATTGGCAGTTTGAATCCGGGGAGCAGAGTGAGCTCCCACTGTCAGGCCCAGTTTCTGCTAACCTAGCAGTTCGAAAACATGCAAATGTGAGTAGATCAATGGGTACCGCTTCAGCGGGAAGGTAATGGCGCTCAATGCAGTCATGCTGGCCATGTGACCTTGGAGGTGTCTACGGACAGCGCCGGCTCTTCGGCTTAGAAATGGAGATGAGCACCACACCCCAGAGTCGGACACAACTGGATTTCATGTCAGGGGAAAACCTTTACCTATGGTCAAAGTACAGTGTTTCAACTTTGTTCCTTATTTATTTATTTATTTATTTATTTATTTTATTTACTCCATTTGTATACCGCATATATCAGCCTGCGACGGCGACTTTACAGTAAAAATGGCAACACTGACAATATATAAGACGTACATACACAAACAACACACACAATCATCAACGCCTCAGTTAGAATCAGATCCCGTTCTCATAGTCCTTTTTCGTTCCTTGTTCAATGCCGTCTTACTGAGTTAGTTGTCATTGCATAGTTGTCCAAACGCCTGCTCATAGAGCCACGTCTTAACCCTCCTCCGAAACACCAGCAACGAAGGGGCCTGCCTGATGTCCACTGGTAGGGCATTCCATAGCCGAGGGGCCACCACTGAGAAGGCCCTGTCTCTCGTCCCCGCCAACCGCGCTTGCGACGCCGGCGGGACCGAGAGCAGGGCCTCCCCGGACGATCTTAAGGTCCTCGCCGGTTCATAGGTGGAGATGCGTTCGGAGAGGTAAGTGGGGCCGGAACCGTGTAGGGCTTTATAGGCTAAAGCCAGCACCTTGAATTGTGCCCGGTAGCAAATTGGCAGCCAGTGGAGCTGGCTCAGCAGGGGGGTGGTATGCTCCCTGTATGTCGCTCTGGTGAGCAATCTGGCTGCCGCTCGCTGGACTAGTTGAAGTTTCCGAACAGTCTTCAAGGGCAACCCCACGTAGAGCGCGTTGCAGTAGTCTAATCGGGATGTAACCAGAGCGTGGACTACCGTGGCCAAGTCAGACTTCCCAAGGTATGGGCGCAGCTGGCGCACGAGTTTTAACTGTGCAAATGCTCCCCTGGTCACCGCCGAAACCTGGGGTTCCAGGCTTAGCGATGAATCCAGGATCACACCCAAGCTGCGAACCTGCGTCTTCAGGGGGAGTGCGACCCCATCCAACACAGGCTGTAACCCTATACCCTGTTCGGCCTTCCGACTGACCAGGAGTACCTCTGTCTTGTCTGGATTGAGTTTCAATTTGTTCACCCTCATCCAGTCCGACACAGCGGCCAAGCACCGGTTCAGGACCTGGACAGCCTCCTTAGTAGAAGGTGGAAAGGAGTGACAGAGTTGGACGTCATCTGCGTACAGATAACACCGCACCCCGAAACTCCGGATGATCTCTCCCAACGGCTTCATGTAGATGTTAAATAACATGGGGGACAGTATTGAACCCTGCGGGACCCCACAAGTCAATGGTTGTGAGGGCGAGCAGTTGTCCCCCAGCAACACCATCTGGGTGCGACCCTCTAGGAAGGACCTGAGCCACTGTAAAACAGTGCCCCCCAGGCCCATTCCCACGAGGCGACCCAGAAGGATACCGTGGTCGACGGTATCGAAAGCCGCTGAGAGGTCCAGCAGAACTAACAGGGACACACTCCCCCTGTCAAGCTCACGCTGGAGATCATCCACTAAGGCGACCAAGGCTGTCTCGGTACCATGTCCCGGCCTAAAGCCAGACTGTGCCGGATCCAGATAATCAGTGTCTACCAAGAATGCCTGGAGTTGTGAGGCCACCACACGTTCCAGGACTTTGCCCAAAAAGGGGAGATTGGAAACAGGCCGATAGTTGACGAATTGAGTGGGGTCCAGTGATGGTTTTTTCAACAGCGGTTTTATTACAGCTTGTTTTAAGCTGGCTGGAATTATGCCTTCCCGAAGGGAGGCATTAACCACCACCTTCACCCCTTAAGTGCCATATTGAGGGGCAGGGGTGGAAAAGAAATGGAGATGAACACCACCCCCCAGAGTCGAACATAACTAGACTTAATGTCAGTGGAAACCTTTACCTTTAAGCATGCTTTACATCAAGCATGGAATTAGATGATGTTTCTCACTCTTTAGCGCAGGGTTCCTCAAACTTTTTAAACAGAGGGCCAGGTCACAGTCCCTCAAACAGTTGGAGGGCCGGATTATAATTTGAAAAATGCATGAATGAATTCCTATGCACACTGCACATATCTTATTTGTAGTGCAAAAAAACACTTAAAAACAATACAATAATTAAAATGAAGAACAATTTTAACAAATATAAACTTATTAGTATTTCAATGGGAAGCGTGGGCCTGCTTTTGGCTGATGAGATAGGATTGTTGTTGTTGTGTACTTTCAAGTCGTTTCAGACTTAGTTTGACCCTGAGCGAGGGCCGGGTAAATGACCTTGGAGGGCCGTATCTGGCCCCCGGGCCTTAGTTTGTAGTTTGAGGACCCCTGTTTTAGCGCATAACTACAGGCAGTCCCCAGGTTACAGACAAAACAGGTTCTGTAGGTTTGTTCTTAAAGTTGAATTTGTATGTAAGTGGGAACTGATACATTTTAAGTGTAACTCCATTCTATATGTGTGTGTTGGATAGCATAGGGGTGAACACCCCCGTGGTGTTTGTTTTGCTGTCTGTGCCCCTGTTCAGAAGATTTCACAGCACTTTCTATCTCTGGAATAATTGGATTTTGAAAAAAAGGTTTGTTGTGGAAACAAGGATTGGTGATAATGCTTCGGTGGAGGCTCCTTTTTCCCACGATGACTCTTCCAGGACTGGATTTTCCTCCTGAGAGGTAGATTTCTCTCATTTCCTGTTGTCTCACCCCCATTCTTAAGTATAAATTGGATGTAAGTCGGGTATATGTAACTCGGGCACTGACTGCCTGCCTTCCCTGAAACCCCGAGCCAGGAGGGCTCCAGAGAGGGAAGTAGGAAGGGCGTCCCTTATCCGGAATTCCAAAATAGTCCACAGGCATTTCGCATAAGGGACACTCACCCTATTCCAGGAGAAAGAGAAAAGCTTGAAAGCAAAGGGAGGGAGGGATGCCATGAAATGGTACGCTGGCCCTTTAAATGCCCCTCCCCTCACCGACCTGCTGGAGCCCCGGCGAAGGCGAGCCGAGGGAGACCGAGCCGCCTCCACATGGCGAAGCTGGTCCAGGCGGTGCCCGGTCGGCCCCGGGATCAGCAGGCCCCACCAGGCGTGGAGTAGGCGGGCGAAGAGCGGAAGGCCCTGGAGAGCCCTTCCCAGCGAGGTGCACCGCCTTCCTCCGCCCGGGTGGCAGCACTTCCGGGAAGAAGGGAGTGTGCGAGTGCAAGGAAACAATAGCCAGGACGATTGGTTCCGGAGAATAAATGACCCCCCTCCCCACCACCACGAAGTAAAGGAACGCCAATAATGTATAATATTATAATGTAATACAATATAATATACTACTAATAATATGATATTATAATTATATATTTTATATTACATATAATATTACTAATAATATTACAATATAATGGTATAGTACAATATAGTGAGAGTGCCTTGGATTGCGAGAAGATCCAACCAGTCCATCCTCCAGGAAATAAAGCCCGGCTGCTCACTGGAGGGAAGGATACTAGAGACAAAGTTGAAGTACTTTGGCCACATCATGAGGAGACAGGAAAGCCTAGAGAAGACAATTATGCTGGGGAAAGTGGAAGGCAAAAGGAAGAGGGGCCGACCAAGGGCAAGACGGATGGATGGCATCCTTGAAGTAACTGGACTGACCTTGAAGGAGCTGGGGGTGGTGACGGCCGACAGGGAGCTCTGGCGTGGGCTGGTCCATGAGGTCACGAAGAGTCGGAGACGACTGAACGAATGAACAACAACAATATAGTGAAGTATAGCGCTGATATTGTACTGTGCTAATGGTATAATGTGTATATGTGTGTGTGTGTGTGTATATATATAACTAGCTGTGCCCTGCCACGCGTTGCTGTGGCCTATAGTAAAACTTATCAAAGTTGAGGTAGATATCTGGACTATTATGAAAGAGAGGTACCTACCTATTCCTTACCCCTTTCTCTCCTTTCTTCCTTCTCTACCTCTTTCTTTCTTTCCTTCTTTCACTACTTGGTTTCATCCTTCTCTCTTTCCTTCATTCCCTCCCCCTTTCTTCCTTTGCCTTTCTTCTCTCCCTGTTTGCTTCCTTCTTTCTCTTTTTATTTCCTTTTATTTCACCACCATCATAACAATAACAATAATGCAATGCATTGCCTCTGGGACCTGACACCTCTCCCATTCCCCCAGGGTCTCATAGGAATAATAGCATAATAATAATAGAAATAACAACCTTTACCCGCCACGTGTTGCTGTGGCCAACCTTCCCTCTTTCTCTCCTTCTTTCCCTCCTTCCTTCCTTCCTTCCTTCCTTCCTTCCTTCCTTCCTTCCTTCCCTCCCTCCCTCCCTCCCTCCCCATCTTTCCTTCTCCTCTTCCTTCTCTATCTCTTTCCTTCCTTCCCCCTTTTTCTTTCTCTTCTACTGTCTCTCTTTTCTTCCTTCTCTCTTTCCTTCTTTCCTTCCCTCCCTCTTTCTCTACATCTTCCCCCTTCCTTCACTCCCTCTTTCCTTCCTTCATTCCCTTTTTTCTTTCCTTCTCTCCTTCCTTCCTTCCCCCTTTTTCTTTCTCTTCTGGTCTCTTTTCTTCCTTCTCTCTTTCCTTCTTTCCTTCCTCCCTCTTTCTCTACATCTTCGCCCTTCCTTCACTCCCTTTCCTTCCTTCATTCCTTTTTTTCCTTCCTTCCTTCCTTCCTTCCTTCCTTCCTTCCCCCTTTTTCTTTCCCTCCCTCTGTCTCTCAGTTCTTCCTTCTCTACCTCTTTCCTTCCTTCCCCATTTTTCTTTCTCTTTTGCTGTCTCTCTTTCCTTCCATCTTTCCTTTTCTTTCCTTTTCTTCTTCCTTCTTTCTCTAACTTTCCTTCCTTCCCATTTTTCTTTACCTCCCTTTCTCTTTCTTCCATCTTTCCTTCCTTCCTTTTCCTGGATTTTGACAGGGCGGGAAGGGGCGGGGTGGGGTTTGGAGATGGCGTGAAGTAAAAGGAGGTAAGATTGGGGCAGGGGAGTGATGGAGCGTGGGGTTGTGTGTGTGTGTGCGGCGGCGGGAGGAGTGATGGAGCGTGGGGTTGCGTGTGTGTGTGCGGCGGCGGGGGGAGTAAGGTTGCGTGTGTGTGTGCGGCGGCGGGCGGAGTGATGGAGCGTGGGGTTGCGTGTGTGTGTGCGGCGGGGGGGGTGATGGAGCGTGGGGTTGCGTGTGTGTGTGCGGCCGCCGGGGGAGTGGGTGTGGTGTCTTCCCCCTTCCTTCACTCCCTCTTTCCTTCCTTCAGCGTGTGTGTGTGTGGCGGCGGGGGAGTGATGGAGCGTGGGGTTGCGTGTGTGTGTGCGGCGGGGGAGTGATGGAGCGTGGGGTTGCATGTGTGTGTGCGGCGGCGGGGGAGTGATGGAGCGTGGGGTTGCGTGTGTGTGTGCGGCGGGGGGGAGGTGGGGTTGCATGTGTGTGTGCGCGGCGGGGGGAGGTGGCGTGAAGTAAAAGGAGTTAAGATTGGGGCGGGGAGTGATGGAGCGTGGGGTTGCGTGTGTGTGTGCGGCGGCGGGGGGAGTGATGGAGCGTGGGGTTGCGTGTGTGTGTGCGGCGGCGGGGGGAGTGGGGTTGCGTGTGTGTGTGCGGCGGCGGGGGGAGTGATGGAGCGTGGGGTTGCGTGTGTGTGTGGCGGCGGGGGGAGTGATGGAGCGTGGGGTTGCGTGTGTGTGTGCGGCAGGGGGAGTGATGGAGCGTGGGGTTGTGTGTGTGCGTGCGGCAGGGTGTGTGTGTGTGCGGGAAGCGGCGCGGCGGGGCTTGGAGTGGGCATGGCTTCTACAGAGGGAACGTTGGCCGGAAGGCTGTGTGCGCGCGCCAGGGAACTTGCGGCTGGGCGCCAATGTGCATGCTCAGTTGTTTTGCCGTTTTGTGAGTGTGTTGTTGTGTTGTTTTTCATTTTGAGCAGATATGTTTGTACCTTGTGGGTTGTGTTATGGGCATGGGAATTTTGGTTAAGTTTCGTTGGGGGGTTTTGAGTTTTGTTGTTTTGCGTTTTGTGAGTGTGTTGTTGTGTTGTTTTTCATTTTGAGTAGATATGTTTGTACCTTGTGGGTTGTGTTATGGGCATGGGAATTTTGGTTAAGTTTCGTTGGGTTTTTTGAGTTTTGTTGTTTTGCCGTTTTGTGAGTGTGTTGTTGTGTTGTTTTTCATTTTGAGTAGATATGTTTGTACCTTGTGGGTTGTGTTATGAGCATGGGAATTTTGGTTAAGTTTCGTTGGGGTTTTTTGAGTTTTGTTGTTTTGCCGTTTTGTGAGTGTGTTGTTGTGTTGTTTTTCATTTTGAGTAGATATGTTTGTACCTTGTGGGTTGTGTTATGGGCATGGAATTTTGGTGCAGTTTCGTTGGGGGTTTTTAGAGTTTTGCTGTCCCGTTGAACCAACCTAACAGATTTATATATATAGATATTGTATATATTGTAATATAATATATATTTATATATTATAAGCCGCTCTGGGTCCCCTGAGATTATTTATTTATTTGTGACATTATTTATTTATTTATTTATTTATTTGCGACAGGTGTCACAAATAAATAAATAATTCGGGTGTATGTGGGTGCAGATGAGGTTTTTGCACAATGATTATGTGAACTCAATAGGTCTTAATTCTAGGTCAATGTGTATTGCATGCCCATCAACAGTTCACAGATTAAACCCAGGTCACGTAAGGTCAATCAGCATCAGAGTATGGTGAAGGCCGGGAAAGTTAGTAATAAGGAAATAGAGACAAACTGTTGCAGAAGTTTGCTTTTCCTTGAACCTACAGGAAAGGGAAAGTGGAAGGAGGTGAGTAAAGCTGAGACATTTTAAAGGGATTTCAAAAAAAGAGATGATAAGAGTATTAAATGGAGCTATCCTTGTCAAATTTGGACAGGCAAAAAACATGGTATCAGAGTGCACGTTGCAAAAAAAATCCATGTTACTTATCTGCTTTCTCTTATATCACAATCCCTAAATCATCTCAATTCAAAATTTGGTGTGATTATGTATTTACTTCAGGAAGTGTGGGAGCTTCACAGATGGCCAAAAACAATATGGACATGGCAGGAGGTCTGATTCAGTTTTGAAAAACAAGTATTTTTTAAAGGTTAAAAAAAATTGAAGCACCATTTCTAAGATCTTTCAGAAAATTCTTGTTCGCCCTTCCGTCCTCCCTTTCACTCTTTTACCCCTTCCTTCCGTCCTTCTGTCCATCCACCCTCCTCTGCACCCCACCCCCCCACCCCCAAAGGCAATCTGGTGCTTTGGTCTCAGGGGCTGTGGAAGCAGGTTTGGAGGAGCGGATGCATGTTTAGGGCCACACTTTGCTCATCCCTGGATTAAAGGAACGTAAGGGGAAAACAGGCTGAACTTGCATAGCAGCAACTGTAGAGTTAGATGCTAGTTTCCTGCTAATCCAAGTGAAAGATTAACCTAGGGCCCATCTACACAGCCCTATATCCCAGAATATCAAGGCAGAAAATCCCACAATATCAACTTTGAATTGAGTTATCTGAGTCCACACTCAGATAATGTGGGATTTCCCTCCTTGATAATCTGGGATATAGGGCTGTATGGAAGCACCCCTAGAAATCTTGGAATTACTCTCAAGTAGGAGCTAGTGTAAATGAGAGGTGGAGGCGGAGGTATGTGGAATGTTGCTTTATACTGTTTTGCTATATATCAGGGTGGAGATCTTGTAGCCCTTCAGACATTGTTGGAATGCTTCTTACATCATTCTTTATTCATGGCAATGCTGGCTGAGGTTAATGGAAGTTGTAATGTAACAACATCTGGAAGGCATCATGATGTCTACTTGTCTCATGTATAAAATGAGGAGCATCCCCGTTGTGTGAATGTAAAGACAAGCAGTTTTGTTTTTTGGTCGTGTAAGGAGCAACCGCTCCTGTTGTGAGAGAATTGGCCGTCTGCAATGACGTTGCCCAGGGAACGCCTGGATGATTTTGATGTTTTATCATCCTTGTGGGAGGCTTCTCTCATGTCCCCGCATGAGGAGCTGGAGCTAATAGAGGGAGCTCATCTGCTTCTCCCCGGATTCGAACCTGCAACCTGTCGGTCTTCAGTCCTGCCGGCACAGGGCTTTAACCCACTGCGCCACCGGGGGCTCCAAGACAAGCAGTACTTTGTTGACACATCACTCCAATTAATCATTTATTATTAACTTTCTGGACCTTCAAGGTAACACACAGTGGAGATATACTTTGGTATATTTTGTAGATACATCTTTGAACATTTGTCCTTTGTCCTCTAGAGAACTGGTTTATCAGTATGTGTTGAATATGGCCAGAATGTGCTCATTATCCGTAGGCTTGTAGCTGCCAACACCTGGAAAAAATGAGATATATGTTGGAAATTGAATGATATTCCACAGAATAATTATTTCATCTTAGCTCAACCTAAGTGAATAATTATAATAACAAAACTTTATTTGTAGACCACCCAATCTCCCCAAATAGACTCAAGAGGAGAGGAACACTTTTATATTAAATGAGTGCCACTGCTCAATTGACTTACGACCTCATCACACTAGAGCAGCATTTCTCAACCTGGTGGTTGCTACACCTGGAGGGTTTGAATGGCCAAAGACCATCAGAAAACACATATTTCTGATGGTATTAGAAACTGCTTTGCCAGAGAAGGTTGAAGATCTCTTTGTCTGTCCTTCTCTTCGTTTTTGGGGGAGAATCCTTCCACCAAAAGCCCTCCTCCACTGTGATTTGCCGGGCTCTCAACTGGCCTCTTAGCCAAGGGGAGGGCTGTTTCTGAGAATCCAAGTAGGTAGGGTAGAGCAGGCGAGCTTTACGCATGGCAGTGTGGTGCACATGCACGGGTGAGGGAGAGTCTGCTCCAGCGGTCAAGTCCCTTCAAGCGCCATGTGGGACTGAGAGTAACCCTGCAGCATCAGGAGGAGCAGCAGCAGAAGCAGCTTAGGTAAATCCATCTTTCCTTTTGTTTTTTATTAATGCTCCCATTAGAAAATGCATAAGGATGTGGGTGAACTACAACTCCCAAAATCGTGGGTTAGTCCTCCCCTAAGCCTGCCAGTATTCAAAGTTAGCCACGTTGGGTTTGGTCCAGATCCATCATTATTTGAGTCCACAGTGCTCTCTGGATGTATGTGAACTATAACTCCAAAACTCAAGGTCAATGACCACCAAACGCTTCCAGTATTTTCTGTTGTCATGGGAGTTCTGTGTGCCAAGTTTGGTTAACTTTCATCATTGGATCAGTTCAGAATGCTCTTTGATTGTAGGTGAACTTTAAATCCCAGCAACTACAACTCCAAAATGACAAAATCAACCCCCCCTCCCTGCCCCAAACCCTACCAGTATTCAAATTTGGGCGTATTGGGTATTTGTGCCAAATTTGGTCCAGTGAATGAAGATACATCCTGCAGATCAGATATTTACATTACTGTCATAACAGTAGCAAAATTACAGTTATGAAGTAGCAACAAAAATCATTCTATGGTTGAGGATCACCACAACATGAGGAACTGTATTAAGGGGTCACGGCATTAGGAAGTTTGAGGACCACTGCACTAGAGCATCTGTCCACTTTAAATCTGGTTGCTGCCTCCTACAGAATTCTGGGATTTGTAGTTTAAGGAGGGGGCATTAAGCTGCTCCGCCCTGCACCTCACTAAACTAAAAATCCCAGAATTCTGCAAGAGGCAGCAACCGGATTTAAAGTAGATAGATACTCTAGTGTGAGGAAGTCCTGTGTCAGATTTATTTCACTGAAATCAGAAACAGAAAACTTACCACTATATCACACTTAGATGAACATTTAAGCTACACAGCATTTTAGCTACACAGCATTTGATGTTCATTTCTTGCTTGCCTTGCTATTTTACCCATAACATCATCTTGAATTTCCTATCCGACCATAATGCTGAGCTCTTGCTTTCTTTTGGATAATCATGTTTTTTGGAAATTCTCAGCAGGGCAGATCTGCTGTGGCCTAAATCCACCAGCCAAAAGCAGTTCTTTTGAGCTTCTTATCCCTTATTCACCTCTCAGTCTAATAGATTATATATATGTGTGTGTGTGTGTGTGTGTGTGTGTGTGTGTGTGTGTGTATGTATATATATATATATATATATAATGTCTTTAATTGCAGTTTTGGAATGGTGTATCTAAATGTGCAGACACAGGCCTACTGTTTTGCTCTTCTTATTCGCTTGTGATATACCTTTTTTAACAAATTAAACACAATAAATAGAGTAGAAACAATCTTTTCCGGTGAATGTAGTCCTCTGTAATTCCCAGTAGCCATTGTTCATCTTCCCTAGATCACAAATACTCCAAATCTGAAGGTTCTATACCTTGATCAAGAGGTGTTTTGCCACTGAAGAACTCCCAGTAGGTCTTCTCATTGTTGTTGGCTTCGACACCATTGATAGAGACAACCATGGGACCCCAGGAAGTCTGCTCAGTTTGAAAGCTGTGAGATTCAAAGAATGCAAAATGTGTAAGAATGATGGTAAATATATATATATATAGAGAGAGAGAGATGGACCAAGAAGGAGAAGATATGTAAACACAGATACAGCAAGACCCACTCAAAAATCTAAAAAGAAAAAGAAAAATGCAACATTGAAAAAGTTACAGAGAAAGGTGAAAATAACTTAGCAGAATTGAAGTAGAATATCCAGGTTTCTCTAAACTATATAAGTTTAATGCAACTTGCGAAGGGACTTTTCAGTGGTTCTTTATTTGCTTTTTGTAAAAAAAACTATAAATAAATTATCACAATTTGCATTCCAAGCTTTAAACTTCCCTCATTTACCTGAATTTACTTGGTTCTGCACTTTGAGCCGCTTCCAAGACAGCAAGTAGTACGGAGCCCTTTGGCACCTCCACCGTTATGGAAAATGTGAAGTAGGTTCCTACTCTGTCATTGCTAATGGTGTACTGAACCGAAATGGTGGGAACTGTGCAAAAGAAAAAAATCCAGGTGATGTGACATATTATGCCTCCCCTTCATATTTTAAGGGCTATCCAGTATTTGCCCCATCTCTCTATGTTGAGACAGACTGACATGGTTGTCTGTGTATGCACTTTCAAGTTGCCTCTCAATTTATACTGTCCCTATTAATTTCATAGGCTTTTCTTACACAACGAATATCCACAGATGGTCTCTAACTGCATTTCATGTACGTTGCACCCACCCTTTCTTCCACAGAGAATGATGCTATCAATAGGAGACAGTGGCTGTGCTGGCTGGGGGTGGGGGCGGATTCTGTGTATTATAGTTCAAAACAGTAACGTTTTCAAACTCCACTGAATTGTGATCATCCCATCGTATTCCCAAGTCATTGCCATGGATCTAAATACAGCACAGCACTTGTTCCTGACCAGTTCTTGGTGTTGTTTTAAATCTTGTGGGTCTCCTTAGAAATAACTCCAAAGACATTCATGTGGAAGAAATATCATTAGGAAATTGTTTATCACATGCTCAACCCCAGCAAGAAAGTGCTGCCTTTTACATTTGGTTGACTAATATAAATTCATGAGGTTTATGGGAAGGTTCGGTTTTCCTTCATGGCATTGAACTGAGACATTGGTGGAAAGAGATAAATATGTCAGGCATCAGCTAAAATGTAGAACAAAGGTAGCTATTATGTGGCCTTCCAGATATTGTTGCGCTGCAACTCCAAACATTCTTTGCCATTGGCTAAGTTAACTAGGGCTGATGAGAAGTGTAGTCAAACAATATCTGGTGGGCTGCAGGATTTCCCACTCATAGTGTAGGAAATCAATCAGGTGGAAGTAAAAAAGATGACAACCCTGCTTAACTTTTAATGTCAGCTTCAGCAACTCTGTTGAAAGACAGAATACAGATTTTTGGCCTGGCTGTTTCCCGTAAGATGAACCTTTACCAAGAAACTTCTTGTTCTAGTATTTCTTGAAAGAACAGAGAAATTGCCCGATGCCATACACCTTGAAAGAGAGAACCTCATGAGGATGAAGACTTACCATCTGCTGGGGAGCAAACAAAGCCCTTTACATCCAAGTATGTTTTGCCCACCAGAGAAGGTAGGATCTGAGAAGCAGCTCCAGGGGTATTAAAGGCTCCCAGGTAGACCTCGTCCAACATTTTGTCTAGCGTCTTACTACAGCTCCATGCTCCACTGGGATAGAACTCAGAAGTAACACTGAGGGCCTATAAAGCAGTAATGGAAGCAAACTTGCATGAGATAGATTGAGAACAAGATGCAGAGGGTGGAGGAGACTCTTGGGGTTGTCCCCTTCAGTGATCAGTGTAAGGAGGCACATACCTGCATTGCTAGGCCAGTGCTATAGATGTTACCAATGATGCCACTGCTCTTCTGTTCACCAAGGATTTGCTTTGTGAGGTGGGCCAAGGCATCCTGAATGGTTCCCACAAGCTTGTTCTGCTGAGTTGCGATCATTCCATCATACACACAGGCCAGTGCCAAACTTGCTACGGCTGCAGTATCTGCATATTGCAAGATCATTTCATAGTTCAAAGATAGGCAAGTATACTCTTCAGAGGGTTTTTGGACAGCAGCTTCCATAATCCAATGGGATTTGTATGCCAAAAAACTTTGGGAGAGTCACAATTGTCCCCCTTTACTGAATCCTTAGCCACCACCAGATAGGTAGGGAGTGCAAGAAGAGTGCCACTATCTGGTGCTGCATGTGGGAAATCACACCATAGTACCCCACATTTCCCAGGTGTGAACTGGAACATGCTATGCTATACAAGAGTGTAGTCAAGATGGCAAAATTTATTAATGAGGAAGTACAATCAAGCTCGGAGGAGAGGCTACAGCAGTTTGCTTTTGCCTGAGTTTATCAGAAAGGGCAAAAGCCTGTCCCCTTCTCATCAGCTCACTGTATTAATTGAGTGCAACTATTTTTGCACTTTGAGCTCACTTTGCAGCAATGGAAGTAACCCGAGGAGGGAAAGTAGGAGAACAAAACTGGGACATCTGAAAAGCAGATGACAAAGTGATTGTGAACATCCTCCTTCACTCCCAAAATGGTATCAAGGATATAGGTGTGTGGAGGTGTTTGTGAGCTCTGCATGCAGTCTTTAGTGCTTTGAAAGAAGGGTGAAATTAAATTGTAATTTAAAATAAGGTATATAATTCAAATGCCATTCTCTTACCGACAGAGAAATGGCCTGAACTCTGGAAGCCATTAGACAGTCCTGCCTTGGCAAGGATGATAGCTGCCATTTCGACATCCGGGCTGTTTTCTACACACAGGGCCAGACAATCCAGTGCCAGCTGGTAGTAGGTTGTCTTGAGGGCATCATGGCTATCTGCAAAGCAACCAGGAGTTATTGGGTCCTTGCTTCTTCTTAGAATCAACACAGAGCTTCTATTTCCAACCTAATGCCAAGTCCTGGGGGAATGGTTCTCAAGCTTTAGTCCTCCAGGAGTTTGGGGCTTCAGTTCGCAAAAGCCCCAGCCAGCTTAGTCAAGAATCAAGAATTCTGGGAGCCGAAGTCCAAAAATACCTGGAAGACCAAAGGATGATTCTCAAACAGAACACAAAGAAAAACACATCATGAGCCCCATTCAGACATTTGGAAGTGAGTGCCAGGGATCTGGTGCAGGGAGTGTGTAGACTCCCAGGTTGATTACATAGGGAGGAAACATATAGAACAGGTACTGCTTCAGTCCTTACACTCCTTCAATGCATAGTTGGCAACAGATCTGCATAGCACGGATACAAAAAAGGAGGTGGGACCAAAAGGGAGTGGGACAAAAGGGGGTGGGACCAACATGTGAAGCCCCCACCCCCACACATGTGACTATTTCATGAGGCCTCCTGAATGATGCGATAGGTTTGATCTCTAAAAGACAGAGCTTGAAGTGCCATTTATCAAATTTGCAGGATGTTTTTGTTTAGAACCATACCCTAATATTTCACAAATGAAAATTAGGACAGAATGTGTTCAAAGGGGCATCTTTTGCAAACCACAGTGGTTGAAAACAACAGGAATGTCTACGTTCAACTTTGATTCAGATGATGATTATGGCTAAAGAGTTGGCAGAAAACTAAAAGCAGTTGGTGTATTGCACCTAAAATATTTTGAACTGGCAACATGGATGCCAGCCTCATTCTGTGAGCAACAAGAATGTTGGGAAAACATTTAATGTATCCTGTAGAAGGCATTCCCAAAGGATGTAGACATTTCGCAGCCAAACAGATGGGAGTCATAACACAAGGGATGGGACCAGAAGACCGAGCACTTGGTTATAGTATTAGCTGCTCCAGTGACTTCTATTTCTGTGATTCAGTGATTCTGCTTTGAGTTTCAATATGAACTGTAAAGACTCACTAAGGTTCTGAACTAGGGTGCCTTCAATATGTTCAGCACATTGGATAGCTCCTTTAAAGCTGAATTTGAAAAATCCACATCCACTGGATAGAGTCACCAAGCCACTTGTGGTTAGCTGTCAAGAATCAACTTTGACTCTTCTAACTGAATTATGAGAAGGAATACAATGCCAGTATGTCTACTTACAATAGTAGTCAATCTCTTCCTTTGTTTTCTCCTCAAGGACATGAACCAAGTTAACTATCTTTTCTGGTGTGGTGACATCAGCAGGGTTTTCACAGGATGATCGGAGAGCCAGGGCATAAAGGGCTACTTTACCAGATGTCATCTCTGCAGAAATAGATGAAAGGGAGGGGACAGACATAAAAAAAAGGCCCTAGTGAGCACATTTTGAATAATTAGAAATTACGAAATAGTTGTATACAGGCAGCCCCAAGTTACGAACAAGATAGGTTCTATGGGTTTGTTTTTAAGTTGAATTTGAATGTAAGTTGGAACAGGTACATTTTCTAAGTGTAACTCCAGCCTATCTATCTATCTATCTATCTATCTATCTATCTATCTATCATCTATCTATCTATCTATCTATCTATCTAGCTATCTTTGGATAGCATAGGGAATGGTTACCGCCCTTGTGGCTTGTGTTTTGCTATCTTTGTCCCTGTGTGGAATATTTCATTTCATTTACTGTCCCTATGATAATTGGATTTCTTTTAAAAAAAAACAAAACCTTGGCTTGTTGTAGAAACAAGGGTTGGTGAGAAAGCTTAAGTGAAGACACTTTTCCCCCTCGTTAACTCTTCCAGGAGCTAATTTCCCTTCCTAAGGGTTACTTTCTCTCACTTCCTGTTGTCTCACCCCATTTTTAACTAGGAGTCGTTTGTAAGGTAGATGATTGTAACTCGGGGACTACCTGTATGAAACAAATTGCTATTTGTTTGTTGGAGTGGGAGTGGGGAGGGAATATTGAGGAAAAGAAGAAACAAACAGAAAAAAACAGAAACCCCTCATGGTTAGCTTAGCTTTAAGATCAGGCTTTAGAAAGGCTTTAATTTCTACAAGGGTCTCCCCCCCTCCACACACCAATAAATAAATAATGGAAATGAAGAGGACTGGCTCTTGAATGCCCATTTATTTTAATACACATGTAATTTGTAACAAGTCAGCATACCAAGAAGGACATATCTCCTTTTAGATGTTCTACCTTTTGCAGCTGTGTCCTTGAGCTGCTGAAGGAGTAACTTTCTTGCAGTGATGTCCTGGTTTTCTGCCAGGTTCAAAGCAATCAGGACACTGGGCTCAGGGAAACATAGCAGGTTGGCATAGTCCACCAATTGCTTCTCAAGGCCTGTTACCAATGATTGTTGGCTCTCAGGAACAACTGGAATGGAGGAAAGCAGAAGTTTGTCAAGCAGCAGTATTAGACCTGGATCTCTTCCCAGGAATTTTTGTAGGTCTTCCGTTCAAATCAGGTAGGGGGTAATAACTTTCAGACATGCATGATCTGTTTTATTACCAACATCTGCAGAGCCTGGTGTAAATGAAGAACACTTTGAATTCTAGAATCCAGTGACCAGGAAGTTATTCATAGTACCAAAACAATACAATAAAATGTTGCTGTGTGCCTTCAAGTTGTTTCTAATTTAAAAGTAGGTGATCCTAACATATAATGGGAGTTTCTGGGGTTTATATGACTTGCCTAGCATCACTGAATGGGATTCAGTGCCTGAGCAAGAAATCAAACCCTGGTCTCCAGAGTCATAGCCCAACACTCAGATCACTATATTACCAAACATAAAATGGAATTCACAGTACCTCCAAACAAAAAGGGTGCTCATGGTGTTGGTGAATTCAGTGGGAGTTCAAGGTAGAAATCCAATTTGATGACAGAGAAGGAAACATTCCCAGGATTGAATCAGATCATATCAGGAAACAGAGGAAAAGACCCAGATACTCTTGTGTATCCCATTGTCTTCCTGGGGTATTGTGAGAGGATTATGATAACATTCCAGGGCAAATTCATGACAATGGTTACTATAGGGCAAAAGGAAAAGTTATCATGGGCTTGCCGTATGTCTCCATGGAGCCGTGGACCATAATAAATAATTTTGGGGTCTAATTTTCTATAACAGAAGGAGAGAGGGGCAGAGAGAGTGCAACAATAGGATGGAGCAAGCATGGAACTGGCGCACTGTCGTTTTGCAGGGCTTCTGCAGCTGCTGCAGCTACCTCCTTCAGCACTTCCCTCCCTGTCTCGCTCACTGGACTTCAGGTGAGGGAGGGAGGGAAGTGCCGAAGGAGGAGGCAGCAAAGAACCCTGTGAAAGGACAACACACTAGTATTGGAGAAGGGCCAGTGATGGCGCCTGCTCAGACTGTGCCCCTCACTTCAGTCCCTCCTCTGCTGGTGATGCCAGGAGCATGCAGACACGAAGCCCAGTGCTGAAGCCTTACAAGGCTGGCCCTATGCTGCCCACCTACCACCTTCAGGAGAGGGAGGAGACAGAAGGCAAAAGCGGGCCACCCAAAATCCTTTGAGGCAGCATGAAGCTCATGGGCCATTTGTTGTGCATCCCTGCTCTTCAAAAATATATGTGCTGGGAAAATGCTATCAATGACAAATATAGTTCACATCAACAGCAGGTAAAATGATAGCTCAGTTTCTGGACTATGTTAGTTCAAGTTTCGTAAATAAGAGGTTGCTTGGTTGAATTCTTCTATATAGGGAAAAACATTCCTGAACTTAAAAACCAAGCCAATCGGGGCAAAAGCCAAACAGGGCTCTTTCTTATAACATATAATTTATAACACAACTAGCTGTGCCCTGCCACGCGTTGCTGTGGCCTATAGTAAAACTTATCAAAGTTGAGGTAGATATCTGGACTATTATGAAAGAGAGGTACCTACCTATTCCTTCCCCTTTCTCTCCTTTCTTCCTTCTCTACTCTTTCTTTCTTTCCTTCTTTCACTACTTGGTTTCATCCTTCTCTCTTTCCTTCATTCCCTCCCCCTTTCTTCCTTTGCCTTTCTTCCCTCCCTGTTTGCTTCCTTCTTTCTCTTTTTATTTCCTTTTATTTCACCACCATCATAACAATAACAATAATGCAATGCATTGCCTCTGGGACCTGACACCTCTCCCATTCCCCCTAAAAGGGTCTCATAGGAATAATAGCATAATAATAATAGAAATAACAACCTTTACCCGCCACGTGTTGCTGTGGCCAACCTTCCCTCTTTCTCTCCTTCTTTCCCTCCTTCCTTCCGTCCTTCCCTCCCATCTTTCCTTCTCCTCTTCCTTCTCTATCTCTTTCCTTCCTTCCCCCTTTTTCTTTCTCTTCTGGTCTCTTTTCTTCCTTCTCTCTTTCCTTCTTTCCTTCCCTCCCTCTTTCTCTACATCTTCCCCCTTCCTTCACTCCCTCTTTCCTTCCTTCATTCCCTTTTTTCTTTCCTTCTCTCCTTGCTTCCTTCCCCCTTTTTCTTTCTCTTCTGGTCTCTTTTCTTCCTTCTCTCTTTCCTTCTTTTCTTTCCTCCCTCTTTCTCTACATCTTCGCCCTTCCTTCACTCCCTTTCCTTCCTTCATTCCTTTTTTTCTTTCCTTCTCTTCCTTCCTTCCTTCCCCCTTCCTCCTTCTTCCCTCTTCCTTCCCCTTTTTCTTTCCCTCCCTCTGTCTCTCATTTCTTCCTTCTCTACCTCTTTCCTTCCTTCCCCATTTTTCTTTCTCTTTTGCTGTCTCTCTTTTCTTTCCTTCCATCTTTCCTTTTCTTTCCTTTTCTTCTTCATTCTTTCTCTAACTTTCCTTCCTTCCCCCTTTTTCTTTACCTCCCTTTCTCTTTCTTCCTTCTTTCCTTCCTTCCTGTCTTTCCTGGATTTTGACAGGGCGGGAAGGGGCGGGGGGGGTTTGGAGGTGGCGTGAAGTAAAAGGATGTAAGATTGGGGCAGGGGAGTGATGGAGCGTGGGGTTGTGTGTGTGTGCGGCGGCGGGGAGTGATGGAGCGTGGGGTTGCGTGTGTGTGTGCGGCGGCGGGGGGAGTGAGGTTGTGTGTGTGTGCGGCGGGGGGAGTGATGGAGTGGGGTTGTGTGTGTGTGCGGCGGGGGGAGATGGAGCGTGGGGTTGGTGTGGGTGTGCGGCGGCGGGGGGGGAGTGGGGTTGCGTGTGTGTGTGCGGCGGGGGGGCGGGGGGAGTGATGGAGTGGGGTTGCGTGTGGGTGTGCAGCGGCGGGGGGAGTGATGGAGCGTGGGGTTGCGTGTGTGTGTGGCGGGGGGGGTGATGGAGCGTGGGGTTGCGTGTGTGTGTGCGGCGGGGGGGAGGATGGAGCGTGGGGTTGCGTGTGTGTGTGCTGGCAGCGGGGGGAGTGTGGGTTGCGTGTGTGTGTGCGGGCGGGGGAGTGATGGAGCGTGGGGGTTGCGTGTGTGTGTGCGGCGGCAGGGGGAGTGAGGGAGCATGGGGTTGCGTGGTGTGCGGCGGCGGGGGGAGTGATGGAGCGTGGGGTTGCGTGTGTGTGTGCGGCAGCGGGGGGAGTGGGGTTGTGTGTGTGTGTGCGGCGGCGGGGGAGTGATGGAGCGTGGGGTTGCGTGTGTGTGTGCGGCAGCGGGGGGAGTGATGGAGCGTGGGGTTGTGTGTGTGCGTGTGGCAGGGTGTGTGTGTGTGCGGGAAGCGGCGCGGCGGGGCTTGGAGTGGGCATGGCTTCCACAGAGGGAACGTTGGCCGGAAGGCTGTGTGCGCACGCCAGGGAACTTGCGGCTGGGCGCCAATGTGCATGCTCAGTTGTTTTGCCGTTTTGTGAGTGTGTTGTTGTGTTGTTTTTCATTTTGAGTAGATATGTTTGTACCTTGTGGGTTGTGTTATGGGCATGGGAATTTTGGTTAAGTTTCGTTGGGTTTTTTGAGTTTTGTTGTTTTGCCGTTTTGTGAGTGTGTTGTTGTGTTGTTTTTCATTTTGAGTAGATATGTTTGTACCTTGTGGGTTGTGTTATGGGCATGGGAATTTTGGTTAAGTTTCGTTGGGTTTTTGAGTTTTGTTGTTTTGCCGTTTTGTGAGTGTGTTGTTGTGTTGTTTTTCATTTTGAGTAGATATGTTTGTACCTTGTGGGTTGTGTTATGGGCATGGGAATTTTGGTTAAGTTTCGCTGGGGTTTTTTTGAGTTTTGTTGTTTTGCCGTTTTGTGAGTGTGTTGTTGTGTTGTTTTTCATTTTGAGTAGATATGTTTGTACCTTGTGGGTTGTGTTATGGGCATGGGAATTTTGGTTAAGTTTTGTTGGGGTTTTTTAGAGTTTTGCTGTCCCGTTGAACCAACCTAACAGATTTATATATATAGATACTGCACATGATAGGGCCCTCTGGTGGTGCAGTGGGTTAAAGTGCTGAGCTGCTGAACTTGCTGACCGAAAGGTTGATGATTCAAATCTGGGAGCGGGGTGAGCTCCGGACAACGCCGGGGTTCGGACACAACTAGACTTAATTTCAGGGGAAACCTTTACCTTTAACTTATTGCACATGAATATCTTATAATGTTATTATATATCTAATGTAACAGGGCAAAGATATTCCATTGGCCTTGCGGTCACTCGTAATGTAATTTTTTTATTTATTAATGACCTATATATTTAAAAAGAAATTCAGGTGAATAAAAAGGTGCACTATGCATGAGCTAGTCCTTAGAGTGATTGTCTTTTAAAACTGCATTTTAAGATGGGGACTCCTTAGAAACACAAAGAAATCATGGTGTCAAATGTTGATGAACAGCTGTTGGAAGGCACAAACTGAGCTGCTGATATTCTGTAGAAATTTTTCTTCATATAGGAGAGTTCACCATATCCTGCAACACTCAAGCATTTCAACAGGGTGTAGTTCTGATGCACATGCACAGCACATGTATACAAGGTTAAAAAGCCACCATCGTACTACTGTTAATAACAGCAACCAAATTTCTTTGTTCTACGCATGATGGCTGTGAGAACAGAGTGGTTGTTATTTCATTATTTTTGCCCTGCTCAACAGAACATAACTATACATCACCATAAGACAGAGCTAGGAAATGTGTGGCCCTCTGAATATCATTGAAGCCCAGTTTCCATTAGCCCTCATTAGTCTGGCCAGCGGTTAAGCAAAATGGGAGTAATAGTTCATCAACACCTTGTAATGTGAATGTTTCCTACTATTATTGCTCAGGAGCAAGAAATAAAAATGACCTCTTTCCAATCCTACTATGATCACCATTTTATCTGAAAAGGCAGGGGTAGAAGGTAGGTGATAGCAGGGGGCACAGGAGTAATGCCTTTGCCAGTTGAATATCATGTTCCCTACCCTTTGCTGTAAATATTGTGGGACTAGCTCCTAAATCCCATCCATATTTAATCAGTTTCTGGCCGTTCTAGCAGGGGAGATATCTAGATAACTACGAGGGAAGATTTTATAATACTCACCGCAAGTCCCAGAGGAGATGGAAGCAGCACTGGTCCATGTGCAGAACAGGCAAAGAATAGTAAGAGTTGAGAGGAACATTTTGAATTCCAGTTCCTTTTTCTCTTGTTGGGAAAGCCTTTCCTTGATACCTCAGAGAATATCAGTCTACAGAGGCCAGAATGTCTGATTGGACTTCCTTTTATATAACCTATTAGTACAGCCCTGGTTTCCTCCCTATCAACTTTTAAAATCAAGGTTGCCAATTGATAGTATTGACTTTAATTTACTTATCTTAGTTTCCACAACATTAGCCCTCAAAGGTTTTTACAAGGTGATGCCAGGGGACAAACAGTTCCAGTAAAGGTGATGGGTGAGCGTTACTGAAAGGGAGGTTCAAGTAAGAGTTGTGCAGAGTCTGTGGGAAAATAGCCCATTGCTAATAATGTATTTGCTGTGTAAACATGACATGCTTTAGCAGCAGGCATTCAGTGGAAGCAAACATCTTAGAGGTGACTTCAATTAAGCACATAGGTGAACATAGCAAACCATGCTTCTAAAACGAGAATAAATTACGGTATAAAGAATAATATTTGCAGAGATGATACCACTGCCAAATACTTTTGTAAGGAAATGGGTTGTCTGCTCATGGGAATAAAATCTGAGCGTTGTTGGGGTCCACACATTGGGATTACAACTGAATAATGGCATGAAGGTACCAGACGCCCCATGAAAAGATTGTATCAAGTACAGCAGTTTCACCCCAAACGCTTGATACGGAAGCACCAGACAGCATCTGTATTGCATATATGCTACTATATACAACCTGACATCAAAAGTCTTTTTCTTCAGCTTTCCTTCACCATCCTCTTTGGGACAATGCTGCTAAAAAAAACCTGAGTGATCATAAAAGACTTTGTAAGGAGGAGCTTCTTTGTCATAGCTTGTTGACTGAGGTTTGTCTGTATTGCTATAGAGATTCTAATATTGATTAAATTAGGTTATAAATGCCAAACAGTATGATACATACTAAATAAATATAACAAACTTTTAAAAGCATATGTTCATAAACAAGACTTTCTGGAAGTAGGAAGACAATTAACTCAAACTGCAAATTAACTGTGGTGATGTTTCTAAGAATGACGCACCCTCCAGGATTTCACAGATGAAGACCAGACACATGTGGTTGAGCAGCACCAGACTGTGGTCATGTTATTAATGAAGAAACAGAGAAACCAGGAGAGGCTGCAGAAATTTGCTTTTTCCTGAGCCTTAAGGAAAGGATTCTACCTCCACCTCTCCCAACTGCTGACTTACATGGATGAAAATTAGATTTGTACATTGAATTCAGTTTGCAGCAATTGAAGTAAGTTTGAAGCAAAAAGGAGAAGCGGGAAAATAGAAACTGAAACATTATAGAATCAGCTGAAAAACTGGAACAACAGAAGATTACATAGGACTACCTCTGCCAGTTTGGAGGGTATAGAATCAGGCTCTGAATCCAGGGTTCATGCAGAACAAGGTTTCCATTCTGGGAAGAAGTATGATTCATGGTGTAGTGGTTAGCTAGGACCACAGATAAGAGAATCCGTGCCCGACGAGTGTATGCCAGGACAGAGGAACCAAATCACCAGGTTGAAATCAAGCCACATAGGTGTATTACGATTTGGCCAAAAATGATGCAAGTACAGCAATTTGTACAAGCATACACATATAGAGAAAGCACAACATCTTATACAAAGCTCCTGCTCCCTCCCCTGATTGGCTGAAAGAGGGGCCAGTCTGGATCTATGCCAGGATTGGCTGGGGGTTCTGCTGACATTGCTGCTTCCAGGCAGGGATTCCCCTTTACAAGGAAATGACAGCTAGGGATTGGTCAGCTGAGGAACCAATCAGCTGGTGGGATGTCCTCCTGGGAGGAGATGTAATCCACAAAGACACTGTTAAAGAAATGATAATGAGCTTCTGATTCATTCAACTGTCCAGTTCCATGTTTGACAAAGATAGGAGCTTCCGAATACAAAGGTGTGCAGCTCCTAAAGCAAAAGGTTATGCTCTTGGGCAATCAATTGCTGGGCTGTAAATCAGGAGGTTTAACAGATGTACATACTCTGAGCTTCTGTTTCCACGGTCAGCAATCTCTCAGCCTCAAGTGGACCATTAAAGTAGACAAACAATTCTGGGCTCATCTGGCCTGACACAGGAAACTACCTACTACATCTGCATATATATATGAACAATGAATTTTGATGATTACCTGGCTTGGGAAACAGCCAGAGGTTTTTGCCCAACCTATTTGTTCTCACAGAATTGCCTCAGCAAGGTTATGCAAGGGTGACTATCTCTGGGCTACATCCCATTACATTTTATAAAGAATTATATATATATAATAACTAGATACAGTACATGGAAAGATACAAGTTACACAGAAAGTCAAAGAAATCAGAAACAATTTATTAAATGATTAGAAATGATGAAGTATTTGAGGGGGGTGAAACTGCCACCAGTCTGGTCCCAATCTTCGATGCTTCAAACTCACAAAAGTTCAAAAAATACTTTTAAAATAATAAAAAATAATATATTTATTACACAGCCCTTGGTAAACTATAGCTCTTCCGGGGGGGGGGGGGGGGGGGGGGGGTGATTGTGGCTTAACAACTGTGAGGCTTGCTTAAATCCTGGAGATCAGTAAGTTGTGAATTTAACCATCAAGTTCTCTCCATCAGACACAACATATTCCCCAGCACCTAGGAGAAAAGAGACACAATTATTTCAAACTTGAAAAGTAACAGTTCCAACTTAATCCTTTTCTATACTCTAAGCTTATCTTGCATGCTGGCCAGTCTGTACTCTAAATACCATTCCTGGAGCCTGGTGGGGCATATTCCCATTGCCACATTCTGTCAAGCGCCCTGTCACACCACTCCTTTATGCCACACTAATTCTAGATGAAATCTGCTCCAGTCTTGTGAGGGTAGCAGATTGTCTGTTGCATATTTTTGTCTACATCAAAGGCAACTCCTGTATCCTGCCCCTAGCTTCATAAGAGTCTAATTTACTTTTTAGAAATTGTAGCCAAAACAGGGCTATGACATACGTTAATTTAACAGCAAACAAATGAAGTAAATATCAGAAATCAGAAGAGAGGGTTTCAACATAACAGAAAAGTCATCTAACCAATCTGAGCACCAGAAGTGGCCTGGGGCTCTTGCCAGAAATTTCTTTGGGAATCCATGAGGGTGGAATTAGCCAACCACACTCAAACCATGACTACTAATAAATTGTTAATGGAAAAAAGAGCTTAGAGAAATTTACATCAGAAATTGTTACTGAATTGATTCTGGAAAAGGGAGTCATTAACAGATTATTTCTAGTGTAGGGAAAAACCTGTTCCTGCATGGCAATACCTGGAGATGTGATACAATAAAGCTGAGGAAAATACAGGACTCATTAATTGTTATGATGGTATAACAGTATGGTGGGATAATGCCCCTTGTTTTTCAATTTTGCTTCCTCTGTTCTCTAGTACTATCCATAGATCTTCTCATTTTTGTCCACATTTGCCCTGACTTGTCCATACCTTTGCTCAAGGGAGTTTTCCCACTGAGGAGCTGCCAGTAGGTACGCTTGTTGCTGTCCTCTCTTAGGTCTTGCACAGAGGTGATGTAAGGTCCCCAATTACCCTGCTTATAGGTGAACCTGATGCAGAAGAAATTTTCAAGAGAAACACCATTACTTTACTCCTGAACGATAGGGACAACTCCCGTTACCCATGTTTTCCAACATATTGGTGATTAAAACTGGGACATATGTGTTCAGATAACATTAGAATGTAGTCAAAATGGCAAAAGTTATTACTAAGGAAGAATAGACAATGAAGGGAGGCAATGGTGAGGGATAACTGGGGATTCAGCCCAGGTAGAGCAAGAGGGGCATCCAGTTCTCACTTCTGACATAAAACACGGAGTTGACTGAATGCCAACACTGGATGAGATATGAATCCATATCACTCTTCAAGATACTGAGAAGACACTATTAAGCTGAATGAGCAAAAGTGGAGCTCTAGAGGACCAGGTTATTCTCCTCGGGGCAGACACTGAGTAAAGTATATTTTACTAATGATCCTCAACAGCCTCCCCTTTAATCCTAATATTAAATTTATTTTATTATTTATCTCGGGTACTTTTACCCCGCCCTTCTCAACCCCGAGGGGGGGACTCAGGGCGGCTTACAAAAAGGCACAAATCCTATGCAGATTTGTTATTCAGGCCAATTGTAGTACCTCTTATAAATGGACGATTAACCACACCATACTTTCGGCAGTGGCTCTCAGCAGCAACCACTTTGGATGCTAGAGCAGCACTCCTTCACTCATGGTTCTGTCCTCCTTCACTCATGGAGCCAGCATGATGTTGGGTGATCCAAGCTGGCTGGCTCTGTGGGTGATGGGGGCTAAACTGCGTTTGCTGTCAAATCATAAATGAGTGCCGGCCTTGGTGCACAAGCTGGTTACCTGAACCTCTTAGGGTCTTTTTCCTGGGCAGCCTCCATGACTCTGAAGAATACTGAGCCCTCTGGGACAATGACTGTGGTAGATTCAGAGAACCTGTTGCTGTAACTGTCGGTGACCGTATACATAACCGTAATTGAATGCTGAGAGGCAAATGGCATGGTTTGTTGGAAAGCAAAATAGATGTAGTGATCATCTTGGAAATAAGACAGAACAGAAGCAGTTAGGGTTGGATGCATCAGTCTATTTCTGATCTTCTAAGTGCACATGTCCTTTCCATCCAATTTGCACATCAGTATTTTGAAATGCACTAAAATTTATTTATTATATACATATTTCCTCAATGTGCACATTTTTATATGCAGTGTTTGCTAATGGCTGTGGGGTTGTTTTTTTTTTGTTGGTTTTTTTTTTACCCATTTGCAAAGTATCAATAGTCCCTGCCTTTACATCACATGCTGAGTCTTCCTTATCTGAAATGCTTGGGACCAAAAGTGTTTGGGATTTAAAACTTTAACAACATTTCAATCAGATAGGACCCAAGACTAAACATGAAATTCATTCATGTTTCATATACACCTTAGACACATGGCATGAAAATAATTTTATACAACATTTTAAATAATTTTGTGGATGAAACAAACTTTGTGTACATTGAACCATCAAAAAGCGAGTGGAGAATTTTGGTTTTGGGGGGATTTTTGAATACTATATATGGGATGCTCAACCTATATGAGAACTGCCTGCCTTTAAACAAGGAATGTATGCAGACATGGAGAAAGTGGAGGAGCCAACTGCTGCCACGTCTTCCAAATTTATTAATATATCAGTTTGATTTTTTTCTCTCTGGAGACATGCCTCATTTTCACGACATCAGAAATATTTCTGTACTTTTGGATTTACTTTTTGTGTCCAGTTGTATAGTAAAGACTGAAAGCAAGATCATACAGGTAATGACAGAAGACTTGAGATAAATTGTTCTGTCTCCTGACTAGAAGATGTACTGTATATGATCATCTTTTCTCAAGGAGGTACTTAGAGAAAAAACAAGGGCCAGTTTAGATGCCTAAATAGTGATCTGACATGCATAAAGAGCTAAAGGGCATAGAATTATTGCTGGTAGAAAGGGCATTGTGTGTGTGTATATATATATATATATGAGCAGAGCTTGAATGAAGTTAATGACATGTTTAGGATTACATAAGCCTTTTTCAAGACAGCTTGAAAGCTTTCCTGTCCATGCATCTAATAGAAGCTGTAGTGCTGCTACTAGTGACAGCTGGTGGATCTATACCTGTGGACTAGCAAATCCACTGTTTTAACCTGAACTTTTAAAGGGACAATCCACAATTCAACACTGAGTAGCTCCTTGAAAAACTAGAGTAACACCAAGAGCAGATTCAGTGTTCCACTGGAATGGAAGACATCAGATACAACTGGGTGGCCCTGGGATTGGCGTGTGAAAAGCTTTCATCATAAAACACTCTCTTACATCCAAAGTGATTGCATTTTCCACGTTCAGATGAGAATATAAGTGGTGTAAACATATCAGATCTGGGTTTCAGGATGAACAATCCTGTTGGAGCCTGTAAAAATCAGTTGGTGAGTGTATTAACTGAACAATGCAAAGCACAAAGCTGATTGGTTGGGCCATGCCCAGAAGCTAACTGAGCCTGGGAGTTTTGGCAACAGTTACATGTTTAAGTTTTCTGTGCAGGAGTTTATCAAGACAGTATTTTATTTTATTTTATTTTTTGCTTCTTGGCTGCTGGAGGGAGATGCTTCACATGGACACTAAAGGGCCATTTAAATCTCTCTCAAAGGACATTGCATGACTCAAAGCAACTGTTCTCATGACTGTATATATATTGCTCTGCATAACAAAAAGTAAATACATTATTCTTTACTGATAATTTGTGTGGCATATCTTTTCTCAAGCAAGTCAGTGTGTGGATTGGTAAAGATGTGAACTACACATGATTTTCATTCCACCACAAATTCCTGATGGTAGTCCTGTGATGCTCCCAGTGAAGGATTAGTTCTTTGAATCTATCCATTTCTTGAAGCTTCACTTTGAATGCCCTGCAGAGCTTACCTTCATCTTTGGAGCAGTTAAAACTATTTATATCAAAATAAGTCCGCCCCCCCAGAGATGGGAGAAGTTGGGCAGCAGCCATAGGATTGTCAAAAGTGCCTTTGGGAATCTCGCTAAGGACCGTTGCCAAAGTCTGGGTACAGTTCCAGGATCCAGGTGCAAGATATTTGTCAGCTACAACTAAAGCCTGGAAACAGAAAGAAATGTCATTGTGCAAGAAAAATCCCAAACTTGGTTGGCTAAGGGTTAGTGTTCACTATTAATACTAGGACCTAACCCCTGCAAATACAAGGGTAACACTGTAGAGCCATTAAATTAACTGCTGATTGTTAATGTCAAAGACATTTGGGGACCCAATAGGTGAAGGCTATAGACCACCTGGGTTCTTTCAGTAATTATATACCAATATATAGAGAAAAATCCATATGTCTTCTTGGAGAGTACGTATTCTTACTCAGAATATAGAGATGCTACTTTTTTTTTACTACAGCCCTCAAAATCAGCCAGCTTTTACTAGAAAATACGTAACAGTAAGACAGATTCCTTACTGTGCTTTTTCAAGAAAGCTGAATGGTGTCAATTAAGAAGAGTCAGCACTGAAAGAATAGGCTCCTTCTCCCCAGTTGCCTTCCATATGCTGGACTAAAATTTCCATCACCCCCAGTTATGAAAGATGCACTTATAGGAAATCGGCTATTTCCCTGAAAGCATTAATATATTTTTGTTATTCTGATAAAATAAAACAGGAAGATGGGTCCATAGAACCACAATGTGAGCACTGCATTCAATTCGGTTATCTCATTTCAAGAAAGTACATAAACCAACTGGAGTAGGTTCAGAAAAGGGCAAACAAAAGGATGGTAAGAGGTATGGAGAACAACACATATTTGGAAAGGTTGAAGTAGCAGGGCATGTTCAGCCTGGTGAAGAAGAAGATATGGAGGTGACATGATTGCTCTCTAAAGAGATGACATAAAGATGAGATTGCAGGTTTGTTCTCTGCTACTCCAAAGGCTAGAATTAGATTTCATAGTTTAAGGTTACAAGAGGGTAGATTTCAACTAAAAATTATAAGGAACTTCTAGGTGCTTAGAGTGGTTTGGCTATGAAACCAAGTAGTTAGAAAGGTGGTGGGGTCTCTTTCTCTGTATGTCTTCAGAAAGAGACAGGGCAGCTATCGGATCCTGCACTGAGTGGACATGATTGTTGGAGCATGCAAGGAATCAGTGTGTGTGTGTGTGTGTGAACTGTAAAATAAAATGCATGAAGCTGATTGGTCAGGCAATGCCTGGGGAGCAGGCTGAGCCTGGGACTTTTGGTTACTGTAATATTTTGTTCAGGTTTGAGATATGCTTGTTCAGAGAGAAGAAGAAAGAAGCAGAGAGAGACAGAGTTTGGAGTGTGCTCTTGCTTCATGAGCTGCTGACAGAGGTTATTCACGTGGGCAGAAAAAGGCCATTTTAAATCTCTCGTATAAGGACATTATGTGAGTTGATACAACTGATCACATTGTACATATGTTGTTCTGAATTAAGAAGAGTAAACTATGTGTTCTTTATTGTTCACTTGAGTAGCATATTTTATTTCTCTGACAAGGTAGTGGTGGGCTGATCAAACATGAACTACACGTGGTTTATTTTACATTATACCACAATGATGACCAATAAGGCCTCTTTCAACTCTATGATTTTATGTGCCTAAATGATACATTCCAGGCTGATCCTTGCACTCACCTGCATGGCCTCCCCAGTGCTGTACATGTTCCCAATTATGCCGCTGTTACTTTTGTGTTCCAACATTTTCTTCAGCAGCCACTGTACATTTGCTGAGATTGTCCTGTTCTCCTTTACCAGTGTAGCATCATCCATGGTGTTCTGTACACAGATCTGAGCCAAGATTGCTAATGCTGCGGTGTCTATGTAGGAAGGTAGAAAATGGAAGTGAAGTTCTCAGCTTTCTCAAATACAATCCAATACTCACAGAATAAAGATAGTAACAGAAGAATTCAATAGATATCTCAATCAATTCCCAGTCCATGCCAGTTTATCCCCTCTTGATTTCTACCATCAAAGAAAACATGAATTTATTAACCTTATGCATTCCCTCTTAAAGTATATATCTGCATGCATTTTTAAAGCTGTGGAGTGTAGACAAAAATTCAGAATGGTATGCAATTTGAAGGTAACTACACTCTAGTGTATGGGAGTCTCTTTCAGAGATTTCAGTTGGTTATACTAGCTTGGGGGTGGGGGGTCTGAGAATTTATTTAGTATGTAAGGTGACTCTGGAGAACAGGTTTCAAATCTCCTCGCAGCCATGAAAACCCATGAATGCCTGGGTGACCTTGGGCAACTCATATACTTCACCTCAGAGAATCCCATGAAGTTACTGTAATTTGAAATGAATTAAAGGTGCACCAACAACAAATATACAGTCCAAATCCCATATACGGTAAGCAGAAAACACATTCTGGTTTATGAATGACTATAATACTTCAGACAGTATCACAAGCAAGGTGGGATGGCACTATTCTATCCTGCTATAGATAGACATATATAATTCACAGAGAGAGAGAGATATCGTATCATAGAAGGACAATTATATGTTGCATATAAAGAAGGACAATTATATATTGCATGTTCCAGAGTAGGCAAACCAGACAATCTCCACATCAACACTGACAAAGAAACAATAAAAAATACTGTTTACCCACAAGCATAAAGACATTACATATATTAGAAACCAACGCTTTCTCATTACTTTATTTTCCAGATCACCAGACTGGGCCACAGCAACGCGTGGCGGGGACCGGCTAGTTGTTTATAAAAATGGAAGCTCCAAATTCATCTTAACTCACCTACAGAGAACTGGCCAGAGAGGTAATATTTCTTCTCATCTGGGCTGAACAGATCTGCTATCTGTGTGGGTGAAAATGTGCCTTGAAGCTGGCAGAGGGCAAGGACACTTAAGCCAAGCTGGTAATAGTTGGTCAGAGGATTATTGTTATTGTCTGAGAAGAAACAAACAGACGGAAAAGCCATCAAAATGGGTAGAATGAGGCACAAGAAAGTCAAAAAGAAACACTGTTTGGGAGGAAATAGAACAAGGATGTAATGAGGAAACACTGAATACAATTGAGGGATAAAGATATATGGAAGATCAAGGGACAGATATGGGAAATGTTATACAAGAGAAAAAATGTTATACATGAGAAAAAAATAGAAACATAAGAGAGAAAATGAAAAAATAGAATAGGGACAGGGATATATTTTTTTACAGTCTCTGATCTGTCAAGAGACAAAATCCAGCCATAGAAGGCTAGAGCAATGATTCCTAAACTTACTGATGTGAAGAACAAGATGGGTTTCCCCCCATTTTTTTATCGTGTTAGAAGCAACTTGAGAAACTGCAAGTTGCTACTGGTGTGAGAAAATTGGCCGCCTGCAGAGACGTTTCCCAGGGGATACCCAGCTGTGTTACCATCCTGTGGGAGGCTTCTCTCATGTCCCCACAAATTCAGGTCAGCAGTTCAGCCAGCACAAGAGTTTAACTCATTGCGGCACCGTGGCTCCCAAGGTACTAGGGTTGGTCAGCCTATTTGTTCTCATTAAAATCCTTCCTTCCTTCCTTCCTTCCTTCCTTCCTTCTTTATCTTCCTTTTTTGGAAAGCTAGCAATCAATAACTCCCAAACTGGCACCAGTCCACCAACCATCATTTTGTGTAGCACTGATCTAGAAAAAGCACCTTCCATACTTCAATGGGAATAGGAAATTACGTTCACCATCACCAACATCATTCCTATTAGGGAAGGAGGTTAGGGTTGGTAAAAAAAAAATCCTTATTGTATTTCCCACCACAGAATTGAGAGAATACATAGATTCCTCACCTCCTCCACCCCATAGAAGACTGAATGGGGAACAGGGACTCTTTTTCTAGGGCCCCCAACTGCTATTATCAGCTACATTTTTTTGGAATTCTGGAGACTGTAGTTCACTTAGACCCAAGAGTTCTCTGGCTGAGAACTCCCAATGCCCTTCCCTAAATTGTAATCCCTGTATTCCATATGCTGTTGTCATAGCTATTAAAGTGGAATAGTAAGGTCAAGGTTTCCCCTTGACATTAAGTCTAGTTGTGTCCAACTTCGGGTGGTGGTGCTCATCTCCATTTCTAAGCTGAAGAGCCATCATTATCCGTAGACACCTCCAAGATTGTGTGGCCAGCATGACTGCATGGAGTGCCGTTACCTTCCCACCGGAGCGGTATCTATTGATCTACTCACATTTGCATGTTTTCAAACTGCTAGGTTGGCAGAAGCCGGGGCTAACAGCGGGAGCTCATGCCGCTCCCTGGATTCAAACCACTGACATTTCAGTCAGCAAGTTCAGCAGCTCAGTGGTTTAACCTGTTGTACCACCGGAGCCTCAAAGCGGAATAATAATGCTATAAAATATGAGACAGGGTCCTAAGTCTTAGAGGAATGAAGGGGAAGCGAGAAGGGATGTGCAAAAAGATGACCATGGGAAAGGAGAATGAGCCCTCTCCCCAATACTGTTGAAGTCATAATACTCACTGATGTTTGTCATCTCCATGTCAAATTTCTGTTCTAAGAGCCTCACTAGATCAAGCACGAAATATTCATCTGAGACGCTTCGAGGATTTGAGCAGGAAGCCTGGTGAGCCAAGGCATAGAGGGCCACTTGGCCCGAAGAGAAGTCTTTCCCTGTAAAAATAAGGAAGAAGGAACGAGAATTAGTTATGCAAAATTCTATTAATTTGAATCCAGGGAAGATCTCATGGCTTTATTGTCTATGGGCTCTTCTAAACTACTGCAAATTAGTGAGAGCTTTCACAACAGAGCTTGCTTTTGCATCTACTTGGGATACTTCAGTCTCCATGAAAGGATGGAGGAAGCTGTATGACATCAGATCTCATATCTGCGCAACCGCCTCCTCCCCTACGAGCCCACGTGGTCCTTAAGATCTTGCGGGGATGCCCTTCTCTTGCTCCCGCCCCCGTCTCAGGTGTGATTGGTGGGGACAAGGGAGAGGGCATTCTCGGTGGTGGCCCCCCATCTCTGGAACTCCCTCCCTAGGGAGATTAGGCAGACACCCTCCCTAGCCACTTCCGGAAGGAACTAAAGACGTGGATGTTGTCATAGGAGTCATCGGCTGATGACCCCTATGACAAACGATTGTACTATGATCTATTTTCACTATTTAACCTGAATTCCTATATTACATCATTATTCATATGTATGTTAAACTGAGATGATCCTGTTCCTGTCTAATTGCTCTGTTTCCATGATGTCTCCTGTGCCAGTTATATTCCTATCCACCTTATTGAACTACTTACCTTTTAATGATTTTGTATGTTGGCCTCCTTCCCCCTCCTTCCCCTCCAAAATTGGGTTGCTGTTGCTTGATGCTTGTTTATTACTGTTACGGTGTTTTGTGTCTTTTTAATTTGTAAGTTGGTGTTGTTTTGCTTTTAATTGTATGTTGCCTGGGCTTGGCCCCATGTAAGCTGCCCCAAGTCCCCTTGGGGAGATGGAGGCGGGGTAAAAAAAATAAAGTTCTTCTTCTTCTTCTTCCTCCTCCTCTTCCTCTTCTTCTTCTTCATAACACTAGTTGACCTTGGGCAAATCACACTAGGCCAAGGGAATTTTAGCAAGTCATGATTCAGATCTCTTCAGTACCTTTGTTCACTATTGGCTCTAGATGTCATGAGATATACAAGATAATGTCTTTGTTTTTAAAGGAATGAGCCAGTGTTGTGTTCATGCATCAAACTATGACTCTAGAGACCAGGGTTCAAATTAAACTCAGCCATTAAAACTCATTGGGTGACTTTGAGCAAATCACACTAAGTCTTAGAAAGGCAAAGAAAACCTTGTGATAGCATCACATTGGAGCTGCTGTATATTGCAAGTGACTTGGGGGCATATAGTAAGTGTCCTAATTAACTTAATGATATAAGGAATCACCTTTGCTTCCATTTTCCCACCCAGCAGGAAGTCAAAAGGCCTAAGAACCTGATAGGAATTTCAAGTATTGAAACATACCAGTCCTTTCTGTTCCCTTCTTTTTTCGCTCTTTTTAAACTGCTATCTATCAGCGATTTCTTAAAATAACCAGACTTCCGGTGTGGATTCATGGCGGCAGGACGGAGGTTTTGAGCGTTCCTCAAGCCTCAGCCTTTTCAGACGACTGGGAGAGCAGAGAAGCCCCCTTTCTCTGGTGGATTGAAACCGGAGAAGCAGCAAACCCACAGGGGTGCCCACCGATGGTCTAAATTGTCCCTACCCCTCAAGGGTGGGGGCAGAAAGACCCGGTAGTAGCCCCCACAGGGTAGCGAGTCGTTGAAGTGCGAGCCAGCCAGCTGAGCAAGCTAGTTCTGGCATACTGCCAGCCACCACATTTTTAACTTTAAAAGAACAAAAGCAGCGAAATTTGTGAGTATGAATACTCTTTCTCTATGTGGCAAATAATTTAGAAGATAAAAGACAAGGAAGATAAACAAAAGCAGAGTACAGTGGAAAGGAGAGGCAAGCAGATTGGAAAGGGCGAAACTAGGAGAACAGCTGGAAGATATCTTTTCTAATTCACCTCAGACCTCTTCAGACATTAACTAAAGACAATTAGGAACTTATAGTTGGAATGGTTTATGGCTTTATGGCTTTTGGTTGTCGGTCTCTATTCTCCTTATAAGTTCATGTCTGTAGCATCTGTTTAAGAACACAGAAGCTACATTAAAACGCGAGGAAATGCAAAGAATCCTCAAACAAATAAACAAACAAACTTTGGAAATGATAACGAATAGTACTGATAAATGTTAAAAGACTCGCCTGTCCATTAACTTCATAGTACACCTGTGTGTACTATTAAGGCCTTCTTCAGGGGCTATTTAGAAATTTCTAGACTAGGCACTCTCAAGTCATTAAGGGGACAAATGAACAAGTGAACACTGTGGAGCTGTGTTTCCCCTTCCCAGGTGCTTTTGCCCTGCTTTGTGCTCATCAGTGACTGTAATAAAGTTTTGTATTGTATGTGAACAAGTAAAGTGAACACAGTAAATCCCTCCTCCCTCCGACCCCTCCCCTCTGTTATAACCAACTTACAAATTGCAACCTAAAATAACTAATTAACTAATCAACTAATCAGCTAATTAATTATTAATCTAATAAAGCCAGACCTGCAGCTGCGCCGCTGCGCCGCACCACGTTACGCTAAACACACGGCGAGAGCGAGAGAGAAGGGGGGAAATAGCTCGAGACGTGGCGGGATTTGGCGTGAGATTTGGAGCGAGATTTTGGAGCGAGATTTTGAGTAGATCTTGGAACGAGAATTGAAACAAGAAACTGACATGGAGAGCAGAGAAGTAGGGAAAAAATAAAGAAGAAAGAGTGACATAAGGACGATCAGAGGGACACTGAAAAGGGACATCGAAGGGACACTGAAGGACCAAAGGGCAACAGAATAAGAGTGAAGACGGCAACGCCAAAAAGCAAAACAGATAAAGAGGTAGACAAAAGACAAACACTTCTAGCGGTGGGAGCAAACTAAAAGAACTCTATATCGGAAGAGTCTATTATGAAAGATATTTTGAAAGAGATTCAAGGAATATCGGCAAAACAAGACGTACACCAAAAGGACCTAAAAAACTTATCTGACAAACAAGATGCACATCAAGAACTGCAGAAAATGAGAAAAGAAGTGACAGAAGAACTAAATCTGAAGAAAAAAGAAATGTGCATGTTTCAACAAGAAATGAAGGAATTGAAGAAAGAAAAACAAGAAATGTCAAGTAAACAAGAACAATGCGAGAAAATGCTAGATAACTTGGTAGAAAAAAAATATAATGTTAGAAAAGAAGCAAGAGAGATTGGAAGCCCAAGAGATGGAATATTAACTAAGATACAGAAGTATAGTAGAAGACACGAAGGAAGACATAATACAGATAGTAATCGATTTAACAGCTAAATTAATGAAACGACCAAAGGAGGAACTAGAGAACCAGATAGATCGGGTATACCACATATCTACAAATTATGTGAAGAGAAATAAAGTAGAAAGAGATGTTATAGTACATTTCACAAAGAAAAGGACCAGAGGTGAAGTTTTAAAACAGAACAATCTCACTAAAACAGTATACAAAGGGAAGAAGGTAGCGATTTTAAAGGAAATCCCACAGACGGCTTTGACGAAAAGGAGGAAATACATGTTTTTGACAGAAGAATTAAAAAGACTACAAATAAGATTCCGGTGGGAAAGACCAGAAGGAATGATGGTCACATACAAGGAAGAACGCTACTGGCTGACTTCTGAAGAGAAAGAGCAAGATTTCTAAAGAAAATTTAAAAAGGAGGTGGAAGACCAGTACTCAACAGGAAAGAAACAGGGTACAAAACGTGTGAGATGGACATCACCGGAAAAAAAATCATACGCAAAGGAATTGACGGGATCAGAGTTAGAACCAACGGAAGAAGAGAGAGAAGATGGAGAAAATAAAAAAGAAAAATCAAATGATGGAGTGGAATCTTAAGTGCATCTCGAATAACATCAATGGTTTAAATTCACCTAACAAGAGGAAGAGGGTCTTCAACTACCTCAAAAAGAGAAAATACGACATAATAGTGCTCCAAGAAACTCACATCAATCACAAACATGTGGCCCACCTCACTTATATAGGACTCGGCAAAGTATTCTATTTGTCGGCAATGGAAAAGAAAAGAGGTGTCGTGATATACGTAAGAGAAGGCATTGTGGCTACACAAGCATTTAAAGATACAGAGGGAAGAGTGGTGGGGATCATAGTCGAAAGGGGAGGGATAAAGCTTTTAGTTTGTAATGTTTATGTGCCAAACGGAGCCAAAGACCTCCTGATTATAAATAGTCTGGACAGTGAACATGACAGCCCCCCTGGGCTTAAAGTCTTGCTGTTGAACTCCAGATCCGTGAATAGTAAAACTGCAACCATCCTGGATTTGATCCTGGATGAGTACGCAGATCTGGCTTGAATTACCGAAACCTGGTTGGACAAACCAAGGAAAGTCAACCTCACCCACTCTGTCCTCTAGGTTTCGGAGTGCATCAACAAGCTAGGCCTTGGGGGAGAGGAGGCAGAATCCCAATAGTCTATTGAGATTCCATCCCCCTGATCTAGTGTCCCATCACACAATTTCTGACGTTCGAGTGTGCGGTCTCAGAGAGGGTAACCAGGAGAGATTAGGGATTCTGCTTGCGTACTGCCAGCTCTGCTGTACAAGTCTCCATACCTGAGCTAGCCGGGGTGGTCTTGAGCCTGGCTTTGGTGTCCCAATGGCTAATTGTGCTGGGGAACTTCAACATCCACACTGAGACCGCCCTTTCAGGAGTGGGTCAGGACTTCATGGCTGCAACGACAACCATGGAGCTGTCCCAAATTATATCTGGACCCAACCATGTAGCTGGACACACATTGGATCTGGTTTTCAATGTAGGATGGAATGATGGTGTTGGTATGGAAGAACTTTCTTTAGTTCCGTTGTCATGTACCAATCACTACCTGATCAGGTTTAGACTAACTGCAACTTCCAACCTCTGCAGGGGTGGGGGACCCATTAAGATGGTCCACCCCAAGAGACTTAAGGATTCTAAAGGATTCCTGATGGCTCCTGGGGATTTTCCTGTCATGGCAGGAGATGATCCTGTCAATGCTCTGGCGGACCTCTGGAAAAATGAGACAACCACAGCAGTTGGCACCGTCACCCTGAACTTACTCTTACTTAATTGTAAGCTGCCTTGAGTTCCCCTTTGGTTAGGGATAAGGTGGGATATAAATAAGATAAATAAATAAATAAATAAATTTGGCTCTCTGGTTTACCAGGGACCTAACGGTGATGAAGCAAATGAGGTGGAGACTAGAGTCCCACTGGCAGAAGACTCAGGATGAATCTGACTGAGCACAGGCTAGAGCCTCTCTTAGGGCCTACTCCATGGCAAATCCAGCAAAATTTAATCTGTGTATTTTACTATGATATTGCTATTTTTAGTTTACTATGTTTTTTGATTTTGACATTATTTATTATGTTTTTATTTATGCTTTGATCTTATATATATTTTCTGTAAGCCGCCCCAAGGCGGGATATAAATAAGGATGATGATGATAATGATAATGATGATTAGCCAACAGCATTTACTCTGCCGCGTATTATCTATATGCTGCCATGATCTTATTTGCAAGGCTTTTATCCACACCCTTCCTAAACCAAAATACACAGAGTAATTTGGTATTGATATATATAATGAACAAACCATATGTTGATGGATATTGTCAGTAACAGGGTTGTTGTAAGTTTTTTCGGGCTATACGGCCATGTTCTAGAGGCATTCTCTTCTGACGTTTCGCCTGCATCAGTGGCAAGCATCCTCAGCGGTAGTGAGGTCTGTTGGAACTAAGAAAATGGGTTTATATATCTGTGGAAAGACCAGGGTGGGACAAAGAACTCTTGTCTGCGAACCCCACCTCCTCCAAGATGAACTGAACCACCTAAACTGGGCTCTTCAGGCCAATGAATACTCCACCTCAGACCTCAGAAGAGCTGCAAGACCAAGAACAAGCCACAAGAGTCAAGACAAAGATCCACCCAGAGGAAAAGTGTTCTTGCCATACATCAAGGGAACCACTGACCGCAGGGAAGCTGATGAGGAAACACAACATACAAACTATCTACAGACCCACCAAGAAAATCCAACAAATGCTACTTTCAGCAAAGGATAAGAGGGATCCTCTCACTTCTGCAGGAGTCTACCGTGTACCAAGCAGCTGTGGACAAGTCTACATAGGGACCACCAAACGCAACGCCCAAACATGAATCAAGGAACATGAAAGGCACTGCAGATTACTTCAACCAGTGAAGTCAGCCATAACAGAGCACCTGATGAACCAATCTGAACACAGCATATTATTTGAGAACACAGAAATGCTGGACCACTTTAACAACCACCATGTCAGACTACACAGAGAAGCCATTGAAATCCACAAGCATGTGGACAATTTCAACAGAAAGGAGGAAACCATGAAAATGAACAAAATCTGGCTACCAGTGTTAAAAAAAACTCTAAAATTAAAACAGCAAAACAGCAGAAGGAAAACAATCAAGGACATCTAATCACCTCTCAACAAAAGATTGCTCCAGGCACTACCAGGCCATCAAATGCTAATCAAGGAGGTCAGTTGAAACATTCACCCCCTAGCTCCAGCAGACAAGAGTTCTTTGACCCACCCTGGTCTTTCCAGAGATATATAAACCCATTTTCCTAGTTCCAACAGACCCTCACTACCTCTGATGCAGGCAAAATGTCAGGAGAGAATGCCTCTAGAACATGGCCATATAGCCCAAAAAATCCTACAACAACCCAGTGATTCCGGCCATGAAAGCCTACGACAATACATTGTCAGTAACAATTTATGGCATGTTGTCATAAAAGCAATAACCCATCCATCCACTTGTTTTTTTATTGATATCCTTGCTTTCTCCTAAGTTGGGATTCTAGACCGCTTACAAAAGAATAGAATACAATAATACAATATTAAGAGCCAAGACCAAACCAGTCTTAAATATCAACAGAACTGTTAAATTTTACACACAGCCCCCAGTAGCCCCCATGATAATCCCCACAATCTTTAATGACTCTGCAGACCAAACACATATATTTTATGTCCTCCTGCCCTATGCATTTCCAATACATGAAATATCCATTTTTCCAAGAGGACCCTAACTCTTACCATTCTTCATCCTATCTATTGCATCTTCGGATAGCCTCTTCAGTAACTTGCGCTCAATGTTCAGGCTGTGATCTTGAGCAAGACGGAGAGCCAGCAAAACATTGGGGTTGGGAAGAGCTTCTGGAGCCATGGCAGATTGGGCCATTTTATTCAGGAGGTAGGTCTCCAGTGGCTTCTGGTCTTCATTTATAGCTAAATGAGAGAGAACAACATTCACCCTGAGATTTTATGAATATTCCCAATTTAGAGAGAAAACCTATGACTCATCATCACCTACAATTAGATCAGCCAAACATGCATATTTCCTTTTGCTCTTGGTCAATTATACTTTAAGTATACAAGCCTTTTCTTTTTTCTGCCAAGTGTATGTTTGTATATGTATGTGTATGTGTGTGTATGTGGGGGGGGGGGTATGTGTACACACACACAGACGCAGGAGGTTGGACTGAATGGCTATTGTGATCTCTTCCAACTCTATGATTCTATAATTGGATTACTTTGTAAATATAAAGTTATCCTGCAAAAAAAAAAATCCCCCAAGAAAACCTTGATTTTGCCTTTTTATATAAAGGACATTTTACTCTCCAACTGAATATAATGGAACTTGAGCATCTAGGATTTTGGTATCTATGAGTGATCTTGAAACCACCTTAAGGGAATACCAAGGGCCCACTATAATTGTTGACAAAAATACTAGACTAAGAAAGAAATGTAAAGTTGAATGGCATGTTTTCATCCCAAAAGTTGAGATTTTGTCCTGGCAAAATGGAAACATCTCGTGATTTGGACAGTATCCCAACTACCTATTTATTTATTTATATCATTTTAACCCCGCCCATATCAGCCCAAAGGCAACTCAGGGCGGCAAACAATCGGCACAATTCGATGCCATATATAAAATACATACATCAATAAAAATAAAACATCACATTACGCTATATCTAAAAACATCAAACCAGTGAACAATAACATTTTAAAAACTATGTCGTCAAATTCAGTCCTCATCCGTTCCATCGTTTTAGCTGTTCCTAGGTCGTTTTCCAATTCAGGTTTATCTGATTAAGCTGAGGCTCCAAAAGCTTGCTCAAAGAGCCAAGTTTTCAGGTTTTTTTGAAAGCTTAAGAGGGAGGGGGCTGATCTGATATCCCTGGGCAGGGAGTTCCACAGCCGAGGGGTCACCACAGAGAAGGCCCTGTCTCTCGTCCCCGCCAAACATGCTTGTGAAGCAGGTGGGATCAAGAGCAGGGCCTCCTCCGACAATCTCAAATCCCTAATGAGTTCATAGGGGGAGATGTGTTCGGATAGATAAGCTGGACCGGAACCGTTTAGGGCTTTATAGGCTAAAGCCAGCACTTTGAATTGTGCCCGGTAGCAAACTGCCAGCTAGTGGAGCTGACGCAACAGAGGAGTTGTATGCTCCCTTGAGCAGTGCTCCTGTTAGCAACCTGGCTGCTGCACGCTGGACCATCTGAAACTTCCAAACAGTCTTCAAAGGCAACCCCACATAGAGCGCGTTACAGTAATCTATACGGGATGTAACCAGAGTGTGGACCACTATGGCCATATACCATATGGCCATTTCATCTTGCAGGAGAAAAACACTGTTTTTTTTCTAATCCAATTTTTTCATGATAAATTAGATAATGTTGATTTATTAAATTAAATTCACATAAAATTTATTTCAACATTTCTGGACTGTAGTGTAACAACATCAGTAGCCTAAGTCTCCATGTTTTGGCATGCTAAAGGCCACTAGACCAATTACCACAGTATGATTCCCTTATCCAGGGAACTGATATATGAAGGGTTTTTTTTTTTATTCAGCTTCACTTATTCATATAGGACCTCTTGTACAAGCTACACTCTTTTCTTGATACCTCCATATTTGTCCCATTGGAAATAATTTCACTATTATCCCCCATTTCACGTATTCATACAAAGTCTAGAAACGCATCACCCGCTGATAGGGGACCATACTATATATTCCAGTAGACATCATTGGCACCTACCCAGAGCAATGTTACTGTGTTTTTCTGCATTTCCCTGTGGGCAATTAATAACAATAGGGGTCATGGTGGCGCAGTGGGTTAAGCCCTTGTGCTGGCTGAACTGCTGACATGAAGGTTGGCGGTTCGAATCAGCAAGACGGGGTGAGCTCCCCCTGGGCGACATCCCTGCAGACAGCCAATTATCTCACACCAGAAGTGACTTGCAGTTTCTCAAGTTGTTTCTGCCACAAAAAAAAAATAAATAACAATAGAGGCTGCCCACCCATCAATCATGCTCTCACCAGAGGACTGTTGCTGCTTCAGTTAGTCTCTCTTCCTCTGGCAAGCCTGCTCACCTGCCCTTGCCTCTGGCAGAAACAGAAGAGAGTAACTATCCACCCCATACAGACAGAAAGAAGGCATGAAAGAGCACTGCACTGGGACACATCAAAACTTTGTTTTGTTACTATTTAGTATAATTTACAAGATCTCTAGTGGTCCTGTAGGCTTGACACCCTCAATATTTGTGAATGCATGGAGAAATTCCTGTCTTCATTATGAGACTGCTTAAGGAAAGGCAAGAGGAACTCTGAGGAAACATGGGGCCCTTCCACACAGCCCTATATCCCAGAATATCAAGGCAGAAAATCCCACAAAATCTGCTTTGAACTGGGTTATCTGAGTGCACACTCAGATAATGTGGGATTTTCTGCCTTGATATTCTGGGACGTAGGGCTGTGTGGAAGGGCCCATGAAGATACTAAAAGGTTAGAGCTGGGATTGACAACAGCCTAGAAAGCAACTGATGCCATTCATAATTCTTCATCTGCAGCAAATATTGACAACTAGAGCTTTTTAGGGCATGAAGATAAATGTTTTTCCCTGTCAGTTACTGCAGACATTAAAAGATACAATGAAAAGATAGGCTCAAAAGCTGGCAACCAGATCAAACAGGAGATGAATCTGTACAAAACAAAGGAAGAGAGAAGGACATTGAAAGAAGGCATTAGAAGAGCGATGAAGCAGGTGTGAATCATGATACGGAGCTCACAAAGGAGACAAACAGCAGTGAAGTCAACACGCAGCAGATTTCTGATATTATGGGACTCTTAGACTGAGAATAGACCCCAAGAACCATCTAGTCCAACTCCCAGCCAATAAGGAATGCACAGCTAAGAGGACCCCTTAAAAGAAAGAACATTTGAAAAGGTGTCTTTTTATTATGAAACTCACAGGGCTGAAATTGGTGAGTCCACTTCAGCCTTTTTCTACTCACCACACTGAAGACAACCTTGGATGAGAAGCAGGAATATGAATCCCAAGGGAGACCTCATTGTTGCTCAGATGCTGTTCTTGCCTCCTTAGTAGCTCTGGCGCTGTCCAAGGAGGATGTGAGCAGCTGTGCCAAGCTCTTGGCAAGGTTAGAAAGGATAGCGACTCCTCCCTCGCTTTGTTTCTTCCTCATAGTTGCTACAAGTAGTTGAGCAATGCCACTGCATGGGTTTGCATCTCCACCCTACAGGAAAGTACAGACTGACTCAACTAGTGGTTGTGAGCAGGCCCGTAGCCAGGATTTTGTTTCGGGGGGGGGGGGGGGGCTGAGTCTGAGTGAAAGAGGGTCTACCCTAGCAAACCTTTTGTATCATTACCCCAATACCCACATGCATATGGGATATATTGAGCATGGTGATCAGATCATGATATGAATAAACATAACAGTTTAAATAATGTACCAGTAAGGCCTTCTCGCGGACCACCATGAGAATTTCGGGGGGGGGGGGCTGAAGCCCCCCCACCCCCCCCCCCCCGGCTACATGCCTGGCTGTGAGTAAAGCATGGGGATTTGAGGAATGGGCAGGAGTTCCTCTTTGAACCTCACGAGGCCAGCCTTCAGTCTGTAAGAGAGGCTTGAAGACAGGTGTGTAGCACCTTTGAAAGATTTGTCCAAATCTTATGTTGATTTTTCTCTGCATGTTCAGTTTCAAAGAATTTGAAAATCCGGTTCTTAAAATAAACAAAGCATCAATATAGCACTGGCTGAGTCAAATAATCACCCTTCCTGTTGCCAACAAAACATGGCTTATAGAAAAGGAAAAATTCAGAACATAGAAAAACAACAGCAAAAGTATGATAGCTGGGACTCTTCACTATGCTACTTGTGCAATGCGGGTCAGAATAAATGAAGGGAAGACATGTGCAACACAGGTCAGAAAGCGGGAGGGGGGGGGACAGAAAGGGGGGGGACAAGAAACTGCCAAGCATAGTGCTTAAGGCTAGTGAAGCAATGTTCGTGTTATTTACTGTTAAATGATAACAACGGCTTATGAAGATGGATAGAAATGTTTCCTCTCCTTCTTTCTGGCGAACAATGTTCCCTCGACTCTGATGCAGCTGCGTCTCTCACTCACTGCGCTGTCTTGCACACGTGTTCCCCTCATTAATTCAGACCCACATTGCACAACCAGCGTAGGGTCCCAGCTATCATACTTTTGACAAAACAACAACCTATGACTGCCAGAATTCCACATATATAGCATGACTACTAGCCATAGTGTATAGCAGTGGTTTCCAACCTTGTTTTGACCAGGGACCACTTTGACCAGAGACCACTGTGATCAGGGACCACTCTCCAACATTAGTACCAAAAGGGTTACGAATCAGATTTTGGTCAACTTTAGATTCGGTTTGGGTATTAGGGATGCTGATTCAGACAATTGAGTTGGATAGACCACATCAGCTCTAGTTTCTAATACAGAACATATACCATCTACTCACCCATAGAAAACCATATTTAGTAATCTAGAGCTGATGTGGTCTATCCAATGCAATTTTCTGAATCAGCAGCCCAAATAAGCTCAGGAACAGCCCCCTGCTTCCAGGCGCCACATGGAACGGATCTGCTGAAGGGGAGGGAGGAGGAGAAGCAGCAGTCAGGAGGCTTGTTGTCGCAGTTTTCGTGGGTAGTCAGCCTCTCTCCTCCTAACATCCCCATTTCCTCGGCACTCTTCTTGCAACAGTGTAGTAACGGTGAGGATGTGGACCATATTTTAGTTCTTGGGGACCACTGGTGGGCCACAGACCACAGGCTGGAAACCACTGGTGTATAGGAAATTACGAGAACTGTAGACCTAAAAAAATGTGTTTCTTTGTTACTGAGAACTAATTGCTTCTCTCTGGTTTCAGTGAGAGCCAATGTAACACAGTTGTTGAGTGTTGGACTAGAACTCTGCAAAACCATTAGAATGAAGATCTGTTTTATATAGGACAAATAAGGCACCGGAGAGACGGCATTTTCACATATTGTTTAAGAGAAAGGTGAGTCTTGAACATAAGGTAATTTCAGCAAAGCAGTGGGAATATAATAAAAAAAAGCATGTGATTTGTCCACATTCTATATTTGAAAACTAAAAAAACAAAGGTGATTAAATATTTGAGAGAGAGATCAGAAGCAACTCAGTGATTTTGCCAATAGTTTGGAGTTCTCACAACAGGTGTTCCAGATCAAACCTTGCCATTCCATGCTCACCTGGACTAAGCTACCCTGAACATAAGTGAAGCTTACTTCTAAGTAGGGAGATATTTAAGCTGGCAACCCCATATTTACCTGGCTGACTTAGTAAGTCTTTCTTAGTAGACATATTATGCTGTGCTATTATTAGAGGAGTAAGTCCAATGGAAAATACCTAAGAATACAGTGATTGCGTTGTAACAAGCAACTGCTTGTATTCCACCCTTCAATCTGACAATAGAGAAGACCTCACAACCTCTGAGGATGCCTGCCATAGTTGCAGGTGAAATGTCAGGAGAGAATGCTTCTAGAACATGGCCATTCAGCCCGAAAAACCTACAACAACCCAATAGAGAAGTCACTAGTTTTAGATACATAACTTATTAATTCAGTGTTCTCTGCTCAGTTTCCACAGGTACTCAACAAATAGCTAAGGAAATGTCCACCCACTTGGAGAATGGAAGTGGAGTCAGAAATGAGTTTCTTTCATTGAAGAAAGCAGAGCCACCTGGCCACAGCATGAATGAGCTATAAATAAAGCCTATGGGAGCCTTGGGAGCTGGTTCCCACCTGATGAAATCACTGAGTAGGAGCTGCAAGTGATGAAGAGAGATCGAAGGATATGGGCTTTATTCCTCCTCATTGCTGGTGTTTCTACTCAAAACACCTCAGGTAAGCAAAGGCAGGAAGAGGCTCAGCAAAACTTCCCTGTTGTGGAAAGATTAACTGGCAATTATTAAATAATTCTGAGAATTTGTGGGTGTACTAACCTAATAATGTGCTTTGACTTTAAATTTTTTGTCAGTTGTTTCCTGTTTTGAAAGAAAATGCTCCCTGTTAAGAAACCATTCAAAGCACAAGGTTATTGCAAAACTATTTTAAGTTAAGGCTTCCCCTGACAGTAAGTAGTCGAGTCCGACGCTGGGGGTGGTGCTCATCTCCATTTCTAAGCTAAAGAGCCGGCGTTGTCTCTAGACACCTCCAAGGTCATGTGGCCAGAATGACTGCATGGAGAACTGTTACCTTCTCTCAAAAGTGGTACCTATTGATCTACTCACATTTGCATGTTTTTGAACTGCTAGGTTGGCAGAAGCCGGGGCTAACAGTGGGAGCTCACCCCGCTCTCTGGATTTGAACCTCCAACCTTTCGGTCAACAAGTTCAGCAGTTTAACCCACTGCACCACCAAACTATTTTAGGCACTTATTAATGGAAAACTTTGCAATTACTTCTGACTTCCTAACTTACATCCAGGGTCATATGTCAGTTCCTTCTTTAAATTTATCTCCCTCATGTGGGAAGTTGGATTTGTCCATTGGGAAAAAGATAATCGAGGGAACCTGCCATAGAATAATTAGAAATAAATAAAATGTGAAAGCAGGGAGCACCTTTTTTGCAATACATGAATTGTCTCCCTTTCTGGGAGTGCAATTGTAAAAATAGAAAAAAGAGACAGAATTTGGGAAGGTTACTTTCTACTGCAAGATTCTGGAAGATGTAGTCCAAAAATACTGTTCTCACAGCTCTGAAAACAGGAGGGGTGAGAAGGGTAGAATATAATAAATAAACCTCAAATAAATAAATAAACCTCAAAGTCAAACAAACATGAAAAATGTATTGTCGAAGGCTTTCATGGCTGTAATCACTGGGTTGTTGTGAGACCTCACAACCTCTGAGGATGCCTGTCACAGATGCAGGTGAAACGTAGGGAGAGAATGCTTCTGGAACATGGCCATTCAGCTTGGAGAACTCATGACAACCCAAACATCTCAAATAAATTAAATAGGATTAATTAGAGTATATCCTTCTTTCCCCAGTCTTAACACTCTCCAGATATGTAGAACTGCAACTTCCACAGTCTCCAGGCAATATGTCAGAATACTCATGATATCTTGGATTAAAACTCCCTCAGACAATGTAAGTTGCAGTTCAGTACTTTGGGGGAGAGGGCAAGTTGGGGAAATTAGATTGTACTAAATGCAAGACAGATAATTGTTCCAAGGACTAAAGGTACCCGTGACAAACAATGATAATTCTGGTTCCTGCCAGCCCTTTATTTGACTGTGGCTCCAACATGAAGCTGAATTCCTGGACCCCTTGTGAGGCAGAAATCAAGAAATGTTGTTTTCCCTGTACTGTATTATCAAAGTTTCTCCCATAGATGGTGCCATTGGAGTAAGATTGGACAGTACTGCTAATAGTTGGAGGGCAAATGATTTACTGCTGTTCCAAATCCCATCTTCAGTTAGTAGGAAATGATACTACCTTTTTATTCTGCTGCCTAGCATGTATTTTTCAAAGCAAGACACACATTTTAGGTAGCTATTAATCAGGAGAAAAGGCACTATGAAGCAATAATTTCTCGCCGGGATCAACTACTATATTTACTATTTGATTTTATTTTTGTTATGATATTAATATCCTTCCCTATTGCTCAAATATTTAAAGATGGCGTATAATATAATCAATCTGAACAATTTAAGCAATGTAGATAATAAAAATGATTTTGAAAGGTTAAAAAACATGTAATGTTGCGGTAGGATTATGAGATTCCAGTTAGACTATTATCCTTAATGTGCAAAGGTTTCTGGACTGCTAAATGCAGGGGACATTGGGATACAGGAGGAGTGTGTGTAAACATACATACATACACACACACACCCTTCTTGTGTCCCAATGCACCCTGTATTTAGCAGTGTGTACACACACACACACAATTCCCCCACCAATTCGATATTCTAGACAACCATCTGAGCAGAGTTTTACAGTTACTGCTATGAATTAAGACAGGGCTGTGTTAATCTTTACCTGCCAAATGTTTTGGATGGTAATTCCTACAAAATTTCATCACTGATCATGTGAAATGGAATTGATAGTTTAGTTCTAAAACATCTGGAGGACATGTTGTCCCCCACCCTGATTCAACTCAGATCATTA